CGGAAAAATTTATCTACCTATCAAACAGATGGCCTTGCAGGAGGAACCGCGGACCAGACAAATCGGGCCGTCTTACAGGACTTCGCTGTGGCCGCTGAGCCTATTGTAGGGGCTACAGACAGTGCTGGCTTAGGAAATTCTACTACACCCAGTGAGTGTTGTTCGTCCTATAAAACAGTGCTTTGTACTTTGAAGGAGGCTTCATTCAGGTCATCAGTGGTGCGATTGAATCGCCAAACGGTAAGTGAGTTCAAATTCGAAGCCTAGCTGAATGTAATTCAAGAAGCGGTGAAGAGAACTTGATAAGCCAAGACCTGCTAACATGAGTTTGTCGCTTTCCTACATAGCGATACCGATTTATAAACAAGTATGCTCAAAGCTTGGGTGTCACCCGAATCAGCCGAATCGGCATACACATGGCAACCTAATTTTTGTCAGTGTTGCAACCACAGTGGAGTTTTAGGTCACCCGCTCCTGCTACTAAGTACATTACTTCACTGTTAGAGACCGTTTTCTGGAACTTTCCTATGATTGCCGTAAAAAGTAACGATTCCTGAGAATTTTGGTCAGTCACACGATTTTTTGAAACCTGTTCGAAACGACTGATAGCTGCCCTACTTGGGTTACAAAATATTTCTTTAGAGTGTAATGGACTATAAACTTTACACGATCGTAAGCAAACTATGCCATCACTGTTACAAATAGTAACCAAACCTCATTTGCACACAGTATGAAAATGATGATTACAAGATCTATACTCCTCCTACGTTTTCTCTGCTTTTTCTTCTTCTGCAGAAGATACGATGGTGTCCAACTCTGAGTCCGACCTTTTTGGTTTCCGCTACAGTGCTGTGACACAGACTAACTTTTACCCGAAGGCAATGGATATTCTCAAAGTAAGAGAAAGAGCTACAAATGATGAACTTGCATATCCTAACCACTTCCGCTTGGTGACTCTTTTGTACCAGACACATACCTATAGGTGCTTCCATTGAGGAAGGTTGCTAGAACCTTCGAGCTAAGTGTATTGTAAATGCATTTATTTGCACGCCATTTCTCAAGTCAATACTCCAACATTCATACGTCTGGAGTAACATTATCCGCTGGCTAGCTACACCAACCCTCTGGATAGAAATGATCTTCGACGATGAGACAAGTATTCTGGTGACTTGGACGATGCTCTGAATACGTCTCAGCGGCGCCACACTACATCAGAAAATGCACTTAGGCAAATTTTCCACTGGGTGGAACATAAAATCAGGCTAGAAAATGCATTAGGCAAATTTTCCACTGGGTGGAACATAAAATCAGGCTGCATTTTTGACGGAGGCTCATTCTGACCCTTTCGCCTGCCTGGTCTCTACTCAGAATGCCTACTTTGGCCGTTACCTTTAATTCAACTCTAACATAAAGCCACAGTTCTTAGAGTACACCGAAGAGGTTCACAGACCTTTCAACTTAAGGTAGTTTACGTTTTCAGTCCATTCACGTTCTCTTGAGATCAAACTTGTACAAAGTAAACTAGTGCATCCAAGGACCTTGAAACATAAAGGGACGCATTTCTCACATATAGCTGCGCAAATCTTACCGTCCTACTCATTCGCATTCAACAGTTAACTTTATTCGCTTGCTGGCAACAGTTTTGCCTATCTAGCTGATATTATCGTGCACCTGAGTGAAGGATCAACCAGAGGATACGTGGAACACATTTTGTTGGATCTGAAGGACCGTGGTTTTAAAAAACTTATTGTCGAGCTCAAACTGGTTGCAGCAGTGTTCTAGTAATGTGGTATAAGAATGGCTACAGTTTCAGACCATTTTGCGGACCTGGTAAAAACCTGAGATACCGTGGAGTTTTAGGTAGTCCATACGCACTTCTGACGAGTAATGTAGGTCCTAGATGACAAGATGAACTTCAGTGCTCAGCTCTGCACATGAAGAGTTCATTCTGTGAATACACACCGCGAGTGTGACCGTGGCTTCCCCGTGCAGGCATCTTCAACAGTGATTGCTAGACAACTCACTAACATCTCATCAATGTGCGGTATAATTGACAGGCAGTCTGAGAGTTGCACCACAAGCGAAGCTGAAGAAGGATTCACGCACTAAAGTTTCTTTCGGAGGTGAATGGAAGACCGAAACGCTGCACTGATTCAATCAACAAACTTCCTCTGAGACTGCAAACCGATTACAGCCTTGTATTGTTTTGAGGACTCTTCAGTCAACTCCTTAGACAATAAACATCTGCCTCTCTATCCTTTCGATAGTTATCCTAAAAGCCTGTAAGGTTAGATGGTACTGTTGTCCCCGTTTATTTCAACCCAAGATCTAACAGTTATTTTCTACTAGCACTGCGGTAAGAAACTGGGTTAAGAGTGTGTAACAGTGCTATCCAATGTACACAACAGACACATTATCATTCAATTCAGATGGACAAATTCCGCTTTTGACTCATTTAACTAGTCTTCCGGTATCTGCGTCGACTTTCCCAAAAGAGTTGAGATTAGTGGAGAAAAAGCTTACCCGAACGAGGCACATTTCATTGAGGCATATAGAGGCTTAAGGTTCCATAGCAGGTTAGTCAGTGGATTTGTCAATAAATACAGAAAGAATAAAACTGGAAAACAGCTTCTGCTGATCCAGTGTTTGTGCACTTAATCAATCATCACATGACTTGTTGATAATTGTCAGATGGGTGCATTATACAACGTTTCAGGCGTCAACAAACTATACTAGAGCGGAAGCCAGTAGTTAGCCAACTATAAACATCCTTGCCTTACATACCTGCAGACACTAAATCACACAAAACACTAGTGGGTTCTGATCCCAGCGAACTCCAACCGTCAAAGTAGTATTCAAAAGTTCCTTTTGGCTGGAGGCTGTTGAAAGACGGCATTCGAATCGATAGTCTTCGGTTGCGTCCGCTTCACAGTATTTGTCCCAAATGCCTTGTGCGATGATAGTTTGCCCAGTAACCAGAATCAACAATTCAGTTACCTTGGAGAATGATTATTTCTTCCATTTGCTACCCTTTATTAGCTTCCTAGGTTGGTACAAGATATCGACCGTATGGAGCGAGCATTGAACGTCAACACTTACTACGACAAACTTTTGCAATATGAAGCCTTGCACCTTCGAACAAGTATGTTTTTGCTAGATATTTGTTTTTTATGGATCTAGTGACTGAAACTGCCCTACGGAAACACTGCTCCGTGAGACACAAGTGTTCGATGGTTGCAGAATTTCCGTCGTTAGTATCATCACATAAAGTTCAGGTTGACAGCCGGTGGATACCTCTTTTGTCCGTCGCACTGTTTACGTCCTGAGTTGTCATAACTCACTAAACTCACCACTGATTCAGGTAAAACTCGACAGAGTGCGAACAGGTACACTCCAAATTCAGCGAAGGCGGTCCGACAACCATCGATGTTGGCTGCGATAATATTGATCAGCATGCTTTTCATGAGAACAGCAACAAAAATTCCGAGCTAAGCTCATGGATTCAACGCTGTTTCTTGAACCCGCGTGATTCTGATTGTTGAAGAGACCGTTATCTCCTTGATTCACCCTTAGGGTATCTTATGAATTCTCATCTAAGTTAATTTGACGGAATAGAATTCTGCTCTGATAACATGGTACTTATCTGGTTCTTATTTTCCACCTAACAAGTAGTAAACTATTGAGAAATTTATTCAATAAATTGAATATTGCTAAAGAGAAAGCTATGGTGATCTCTTGGGAGCACACAATGCAAATCAGCATCATAAATTATGGGTAAAAACTAGACCCCACTTCAGTTCTCCGTCAACATCACCCTTTTTACCACCTTCCTTGTGGACTCCGTCTAAAGTTGCAGAAAAAATAAATGTTATACGTAGCTAACTTCTTTGGGCTATGCATTCAAGTTAAGCGATATATATATATATATATATATATATGGGCTCCAATTAGGTTCATGAGTTCAAAATAACCTATGGTTGTAAGTTGGATGATATAGACCCTCCACGACCGTCCTTTGTATTTCATCAGGTAAAGATAAGTAAAGTTAGTCATTAATAATTTCCTGTTGTCCCCATCCAAGTAATGACCCCATTGACCCTCGATCGGTCGGACACTGATCCCTCAAGCACAGGCCCCAAAGTTCCCGGTATGAGAACTCCATCGCTGGATGATAATTCAGCTGGACAGCCACCTGGCGCCAAGCACTCCAATGCAGGTGGGACAGCAAGTGGGCACAGCATGGGCAGCACTTCACAAACTGGAATACCACTGCATGGGAAGGGAGTTGACGTAGACAGCCCTGCTGCAACAATGAATCCAGATACAAGTCTCCTGTGGAGATATCAGTGTCATCTGACAAAAGTGAGTCAATGTTTACTGTTGCTGCCCTACGAGGTGAGTAACATGATATATGTGTACAAGTCTGCAGCACAGCGAAAGAAGTATTCTTACGAAAATCTACCATGCCATGAATCGCTTACAGACTCACAGTGCTGCGTACCTCGGTATACCAATCTGCTCATACCGGACTATTAGACTGTCTGAAAACTTCCTAAAAGACATTTTGAGTCAAACAATACTAGTTAATTTACCTGTATCTCATAAAATCGCGGCATACATGAAATCGGAATAAACTGAGTGACAGAATAGGCGTGGTACCCTTTCTTTGCAGTACGCAACAAATGGTCCCGTAAATGGCCTCGAAATGGCTCAAGTGGATTTACTAAACGTTAAGATGACATTCATGAAACAAGTGAGAAGACTGGCTAACAACAGACAACAAAATGTCGGGGATGTCACAGCTAGTGACCCAAAAATTATTTACCGACAAACACATGTGTATAGCGACATCTTGAAGTTGTAACCTTACTGGGGAAAAACACGATCATTTTTGGCCTGGAAATTAAAGATTAATTGATCCCAGTAATAGGCAATCTTCTTGTTTAACGGAGTCGAAATTCGTTTTCCTCTTGTTTTCATTTGAAACGGTTGCTATAGGGTCGAAACGTTACGGATATGGCGTGGAATAAAGAGAATCCAAATATTCTGGCAGTGGGCTACGGAAAGTTTGAATTTGAAAATCAAAAGAAAGGTTTGGTTTGCTGCTGGTCATTGAAGTTCATTGAATATCCGGAACGATTTTATGAAACACCAAGTGCAGTTACAGCCGTGGGCTGGTCAAAGATTCACTCAAATCTTCTAGCGGTAAGCATGCTTGTTGTTTATACACCACGAATGATCATTGGTTTATTAGGCTAGAGAGTAACCACATCCGCTGCTGCTCCAGGTAGAGTTCTACTTTGTCTATCTAACCACAGTCTGACTACATTTCTATGACAATTGTTGAATAAAAAACAACACGACATTTGGGACTCGAGCTCATGACGCGGAAAGTCAGCAGTGTAGTCTGAAAAGCATGTTAGCAATCACATAGAATTTGGAGTCACTCGCTTTCATGGTTAATTTGATTCCGGAGGCCCCCAAAAGAATATTCAGAACCAGGCTATATGAGCGTTGAGGGCTGAAATAACTGCTTCTGCGTTTTTGTTGATGTTGCTAGTTACTTCATAATACATTAATTCTGGAAACTTACCCTGTGCATCCACTGCGTACATCTGTAAACTTTTCAGGTTGGGATGTTCAGTGGCGTAATCTACGTATATGACGTCAGAAAAAATGACCCTACTCCGGTAATTGACACAACGTAAGTTTTGTATTACCACAAAACAATACAGAGCACTGACCATCAATATGTAGTGTTTTGTAACTGGGATAGATGGAGCAAAACAAAAGGGCTTCATTTCCCAAGTAGCATTTATTTCTGAAAACTGAATTGAATTATTTGAATTGAAGGCTATCAGGACCAAACAAAATCGCTTTCATCTTGAGTTTGATTTATCATCTGGGCTGCAAATTAGGATGACTCTTGATTTTCGTGGCTATCCAGCTGATATCCTGCGGGGATGTCCATCAAATTTGTTTGAACTTAGTAGGCTCTGTGGTGCTCGTGCATTTCCGACTGCCACAAGGAAGAAAATACCGTTCAGAGCAGTAAGAAAAAGCACTCCTCATTTAGTAGGCTATTTTAAACTGGTTTCGTTATACCTGTCACACATGGATATCCTGTTCGGTGTCAATCCATGTATTTGTTTGAACTCTAAGTATGATCACAACCATTTTGATCCTCTAGTATGTTGTATTTATACAGGGTAAACACACCAACTTCGACCACCAGAAAACGACTCCTTGCCATGCTGAAGAAGAATGGTCATAGCTTTATGTGCATAAAAGCATTTCGGGTCAGATATATCGTCACCATCATCAAAGACAGCAACATCTGTGATAGCAATGGTTCTTTCAATGCCGTACAACCATAAGGTTCGTCTAATTGTATTTCGAGCCTCAGAGTGAAAGGAGGAGGAAAAGGGTGGGATGAGGTAGGGGATCTGATGCTGGTCTATGTCAAGAATTCTGATGTGCCTACACCTCCAGGTACTAAATCAGACAATCTGAAAAGAAACTGACAGCGGACGCCACTGATATCGATCTGTCGCGATTTATTGCAATGTCTTCAGCCAAGCACACGTGGGGTCACAGGAACCTCATCCTGGAAGGCGTGCAACGCCAACTTTACTCAAACTCTTCGTGAGCTCTTTCACGTCTTCCGCATATTGAACAGCATATGTGAAATGGTTGCTTTCCATAATTGCGTTCCACCAAGTGAACGGCAAATATGAACGCAGTTTCTGCCTGGCTGTTCTACGTTCAACTTTCCACCTGTCGACGTGTGAGTCAACAGAAAAACACAAATAAGGCACACTTTGTTCCTTTATGCTACAGTTATCCGCATCCTTGTGCTGCCAACCCAGTGTTGCATCAGTGGTTGATCTGGTTTTCGGCGTATATGGATGTCGTAGCGAAGGTTCATTAAGGCAGAGCTTTAGTCGCACTTGGACCATTCAGCAGACGGCGCAAGCTGACTCTTGCAGGTCAGCAACGTCACTAGTGACACTTTCGATGGAAATGTTTGCACGTTCTCATCGGTACCAATGCCCACGCCTACAGTGTGGGGCTACCGGAGTTTATGAACACTCGGCACAGGCGCAAGCTCCCAATCACAGTAGTAACAAAATCCGATTTCGGTGTTACGAGACTTGTTGGTAGAAACTTCTGTGCACAGTTAGCTTGGTCTTACGTTGGACCAACCGAATGTTTACGCTGGGATTTTGTAAAAGTAGTATTCTACTAATATAGTATTTTAAAGGCCTGTCCGAATAAAAGTTGAATCCTCAAGTAGATACTTTTTGATCAATAAATGGTCCTGGAGCAAGTCTTTATCGTGGAAACCAAGTTGCTGGGTGTGATATGTCATAGAATGAGGATTTTTACCCAGATTTGGTCACTGAATGCTTGCGCTTGATCCACAGTGCTTTCAACAGGTTGACTTTTGTTTCATCTCATCACATGCCTCACTCAGTTAAACTGCCCTCCCAAGATGTTTTGTCTTTTTTTCAAACAAGGCATGCAGCTGGACGGCACCTGGGGGCTGTTCGAAAGGTTCAGTGGGTTGTGCGTCAGTCTGGACGTGCAGAGAATTTATCCGAAGTCCTCGTGTCAGTTTCGACTGATGGCCGCGTAACGGAATGGTCTGTTCGCAAAGGATTCGATAGTACGGGTACGTCATAATGCTTGTTTTTCGAACCCTATTTTCAGAGCTCCAGCTGCTTGACACAGCATTTACACGGTACATCAGTCGAATGACAGCTCTTGCGCATAGTGGTTTGGGTATTCATCCAGTTCATCGAATTATTCAACCAAATTCCCAAATACAGATCACGATGGGTAATCAGGTAAAAGAATTCACGGTAATCTATCGTCCCACCAAATGTACCACAGTGGCTTCAGTCAACAAAACACAATCTATACATAACGTCTCTTTCATGCAGCTTGTCAAGTCAGAGAAAAAAGTGTGCTACGCTAGCATTTCTTTTACTATCTTCAAAACATTCAAGACTGTGAAGCAAGACGGAAATCGACATCTGTAAACCAGACACTTATTAGCTGTGTAGTCAGTCACATGCTCAGTGCTATGGTAACCACAAGGTTCGAGTTAAATGAGAGGACAGGCCAAAAAACAAGTCAATTGGACTGCTCATCGAAAAGATCAGTGGTTGATCAAAGTCCGCTTGGATGATTAGACCCCATTCCAATCCAAACACGTGCGTAAAAACGCACTTTCAATATCAACGCACTTCCACTCACAACGAACTTGTGATAAAACGTTTGCCATGAAATTGCCCAGCTCAGCTAACAAACCATCGGTCAGAGTACACATATCGTGACATTCATTTTTCCTCTCGTAATGTGTTGAGTAGTTTCAGTATCTGACTTGGTGCAACTCAACTTGGCACAAAACGAGTTTCACTTGGGAAGATAACTTGCACTCGAGTCTTTCATCACTTGTCTCTTGTTAATGGACACAGTAAAATGTCCTTTGATCAGCAGATGATTCAAAGGAATATAAGTGAAGTAACTGACATGGAAACGTAGAAATGTGCAATGAAAAATACGGGGAACCCTCAGGATACTGTCTCAGTGAAAAATATCTCAACGAGGTTTTCCCATCAGATTGTTTCCTAACCCTCCAAGCCACTTCCTGGTTTTCAAGTGAGATGTCTCCTAGAAAAACCTTGTGACTCAACACTACTTGCATATATCATCAAAACGTCTGACCTAGGGTTTTTTCAGCCTCTGACCACGTCATGACCAAAACTGTCTTCTCTAGCGCCAAAAATGCCTGTTTCATTCATGTCACGAGCGTCTTGACTGCTATTTAGCTAGCTTTAAGTATTTTTTCAATGTAACATTCATAAGAGTGCCTCCTCACGCCAGTGTGTGATGGATTTACTCTCTGGTACCAAAATCCATTCGATTACCACTCTTTCAATAACGAGGAAATCTGTAAATTTTTCGATGGCTTCAACGCTTTCAGAAAGGAGGGAAATCTGTATTTCAAATGAAAAGGAAATATTTGACGCTCACCGTGTTCTTTACTGAATTCTTGAGGTATTTCTCTTTTTCCGTACATCAGGTGACTGTGACTATCACACAGGTGAGTTTTCTGTAAACGTTTTATAGTTGCGTGCGCGTGTGTCAATACACGTGTTTTTGGCTTATTTACTCAACTTCTTCCACCTTATCCACTCTTATTCTTACAGTAAAGATAGCAAAAAGTAGCCTGAATGTAAGCCTGAACGTTAATGCAAAAGAACAGGAATGCCTGAATCCATGGAACACTCCACTGAGGCATCAAACGCAACTTCTTTGAAACACTGTCACCTCCCGGTGGCTGTCTTTTCACTCGTTCTGCATAAATTTGGATGTTTTATTTCAATAAAAATGCAGTGGAACTTCGCGGAAGTCTTAATGCCCGTCAGATGAAGTCATCAGTTTAAAACTCAAGTCTCTGTTAATGTGGGTATGTTCTGTCAGATTGCAAGCATATAACCTGACGCTTTCATGATTTGAGCATTACTACGTACCGATTGGCTAATTTATGACAGTGATGTCAAAGAAATTAATCAAATGACTAGATAGTTACGCCTACCGGTTCTCCTTTGGGGAATGCAAAACATGTTACTAACTTTTAACCGCGTGAAGCTTACGGAATATTTCGAAGACAAAAGCAGGCCGACTGTTGCGCAATTAAGTGATGTACCAGATAGTTTTATCTTTGATGATTGAGCTTCGAATTCGAAGCTTGGGTATTTGAAAAATCAGGGGTAAGTCATGACTTCGCATCACACAGACAGTAACTTGCGGCTGAGCCCCCCCTTCTCCAGTTCAAGCTAAATCTCCATAAATGTGCAGTTATGTCGAACCTCTAATTCGGCATCAGACCTTCGACCTGAGGAAAGTACGCTGGGAATTAGTACCTCCTTAGTTCAATTTCATTAAAATCACTAATAATCTATATCATCCACTTCAATAGGCGGTTTTGGTTTGGATCAAAAATGGTCCCATTTGATGCCCATCACGCCTCGATGAATGATGCCTCCAGATCTAGTTTGTGAGACACTCCATCACTAGACCTCTCAGGCAAGCGGGTACGATGACAGCAATTCCATAAGATATGGTTTGTTTCCAAATGAGAGAAAATAATTGGTATGACATGGTTCCCTCCAAACAGTAACGGTAGAGCGGGCAGCGGGGCATATACCCGTCTGTGATTCACTTGCTTCACGACAGCTCACTTTAGCGAAAACCACATTTGGCAGTTAATATAATGTTCTTCAGCATAACCGCCTCTGATCATGTCGTACATCGCGGTAAGCTTCTATCTCCTGGTTGTTTCATTGTCTAAAACAGTTGTTGGGAAAGCAAGCTCCTCTTTTAAACCGATCCGTTTTTCTACTCGCGTTACCGACAGTATAGTGGTTTCACCAGAGTAGAAGGAGCGATGAACAGGTGAGAGACAGGTGCAACAACGGCCAGAACGCATGGACCGATGGAATACTATACTAGGGCTTGGAATCTGAACTCTTCACTGAAAGGGCAGCGACAGGTGCTCTGTAGTTGATAACTGACAGCAGAACAGGTGATGCCAGGCAGGATGTAATTAGAAATGCAGGACCCTAAGCATTCTCCAATCAAGAATTGGTCGAAACCTTAAGTGCTTACGCGGCTCACCAATCGGCGCCTTAGTGGTTTCAGTTGTTCTTTGCACCTGTTCTTTTCGTTTCAGTGTTTATTCTACTGGAAAACTGAAAGATGTTGTTCGAACAGAACCCGGATTGGTTGCGAGTAGTTGAGAAATTTGTAGAATTTCATATCTACATTATCCTCATTCAAACTATTCCCATATACTAACAGAAGCATTCCGGGTAATACATGGTTTTTTGTGGAATTTTCGAGCTGGGATGTCAGAGCAATCAAACGGCCTAACAGCTAGGTATACAAATATTCATTCTTCAGTCAACGATAACCAAATTTATTGCATTTTGGTTGATTAACTTCTGGATGCCTGATGCTACAAAAAGAATGCAGATTGTGCAGAGCTAGGGCCGGCTGACACAATTCGAAGCCAGTGTTTTGTTTATCATCTGAACAGCGAAAATTTAATTGGGCTAATATGAGGCTCTTGATGCATAGCTGCCGTACAACACAACGGATGCGTGAGGCATGAGATCCTCTCAGATTGCCCAAGTCAACTTAAGGGCAATCGATAAGCAAGGGTGAGTTCGAAAAACGGATCATTCTGTCAGTAATTTCGCGCCTTATCCGCCTATCTCGAGCTGTAGCGAGTTCACTGTAGCTGATTGTAGATTGTATGTTTCCTTTCAAAGTCTGCATAACTCACCACTATGGCCTAGTTGGAAGTGCTAAAAACCATACCGTAGAGCCATGAAGAAAAACGCTTCTGATGCGCATGGTGAAATTGGCCGAATCATTAGACACACCATCAAATCATCATATCGAGGACCATTTCATTGTTGGAATTTAATTGTGCATCGACAGTCCTGCCGCTGACCGTGTGGGTAAACTGGCATTTCTATGATTGTGTACCTCAAAGTACTTAGTATAATGTAATGAAAGGTCACCTGCTGAGTAGCCATACACGTCTAAGGATATGATACCACCCATTCAGTATATCCTTCTGCCATATAATGATCAAAGCAGAGAAAACCTTCAAAAATGTTCAAATAGGTTCGGTTTGCCTGCTAGGGTGAGATCTAGCAAATAATGACCAATTTTTCATTCAGTGAGAAAATACTCATGAAGTTCATTCAAATCTTTACTCAATGAGTAAAAAATAAGTCAGTGTGCGAATCTAGATCAAACAAGAGCAAGGCAGTACACTTTCACAAAATCCTGCCATTTTCCAGAATCGTACGAAAAATGGACTCTGTTACGATAACAAAACTGGGTAGGCTCTGTGCAAACTCACTCTCCTGATGTAAAACTTAACTGTCACAAACAAGCTACTCTGTGTAAAGCAAAAATGCCTATATGCGAAAACTATCAACAAAAAAAAGATATTAGTTATTTGTCCTATTCTTGTTCGAGATAACATTTGTACATATATTTAATATAGCTTCCTCTCAGAAACTTTATTTAGAGTACTGATATTAATTAGCTTGCCATGATCTCCACTCCCTGCCCCGCCGCCTACCAGGAAAATGGTACTACAGTCCAGAAAACCTGAGAAAGCTCATAAAGATACAAGTGGAACCACAGAATCTTTGAAGCCCGGTTGCTAAAAATCGAACACCTAATGATTTATTGAATGGTCAAAGTTGTGGATTATTAGCTCAAAAAATATTCATTCTGGCTATGTTCTCACCAGAGGCAGGGTGACAACTGACCGATACATGGTGAATCCCAGCGGACGTACTTCCGGTCACACATGTTTGTATCATTTACCATCATATTTCTCAGTAAGCCTTGTCCATTGCAAAAAGAAAATATATCGAGCTATTACGTTGTGACTGTTCTCAACGACTTTGGGTCTGCTGTGTTGTCAAAACATATTTTGCGATGAGAGCTCTGCTTCCTAATACGCGTGCTCCCTCTTTTTGTAATCGCACCTAGACCTGATGGTTCTCAAACGTTCCTACGTCAGCGCTCCTGGAACAGTGAACAAACCCAAACGTAGTGAGTCGTTAATCTCACGAACCGCATTTGGATCTTGCATGGCATTCAACAAGCGTGATCCAAGCATGTGAGTGCATCTCTATTTTCAGGATTTAGGGCGCAACAGTTTGCTATTATACTATGTCTCCTGTGGCCTTCTATTAAGCCTTATTTAACACCATGCATAGGATTATTGTTATCTTTCGGATGCGCCTGTAGCTGCTACGTTGCTGATTTTGGTAGTGAGGTGATGATTTGGAGTTAGTAAGCAACGCGTGTTTCACAAAATTTGATGTGATCCTAAAACCTTAAGTACAGCGCTGTCTTCATGGAACTGGTCAGTTTTTAAAACACACAAAGACTGATATAGAAGAATGTGTATAATCACATCTGAGACAAACGTACTTGAGGTGAACTTTCGACATCTCATTCACTGGATGAGTATTCCAAAGGCTAAGCTACCAGAGGTGCTATTTTGCATCATGCATATGCGGTTGGATCTCACCTGTGCTTAGTGAATTTATCACAGCTACAGTCAGCTTTCTGCTCTTTGCTTGACTTCTCATCCAAAATAAGAGTGAATTCGGGTACGTAACTGGCCTTAAATTGCTTGAAGAGCAGGAGCCTGTGATTCGCAGATGGCAGATTGAAAAGAGCTGGTGGTCGACAAAAATTAATCTACAAGCCGTCTCTTGAGTGGTACTAGCTGTTGGCTCCAATATGCCAATGCTAAATCTTATCACAAACGTATGTTTGTGGTAATAGGTTCATGGTTATCGATAGCAAGCTCAGAGTAGGATATTAGGTTTGGTACACTCCTACTGCTCTCTTCGTGACCATAATCGGCTGAATGTTTGGGGTTTCTTATGTATCAGTTTGAAATCTAGACTCTCTCTATTCGGAAATTCACCCATGACTCTTACTTGACATCGTTGCCCGTCGATACCTCATTTGAACACATCCGCAGTACCGTTCTGTGTGGTTGACTACTCTTAATGGTGTTGAAGCTTTTATTTAGATCATAATGAATCATCCTAAACGCTGTGACTCCAGAAGACAACATTTTTTGTAGGGATCGTTTTTTCTGCGGAATGCACTGCCCGCTTTGATTGAATGATTGACTGGTTAGCAGCTCGTATGTCTTAGGTCGCATACCGTGCGAACATTCTTTTTGGGCTGTCGTCAGTGCTATTGGTTCTCCTTCTTATCTCTTAGTCAGGCTTTCCGGCTGCATTCGCTTCCATTTTCTAGAATCCTGAATACCTGATCCTTAAGGGCTGTGACCTAGTAGTGGGCTGCCAAAATCTTTTGACAACCTTATGAGTAATATTAAGCCGAGGTAGGGGACAATTTAGTTTTCTCTAGATATTGTTACTGACTTTTCAGCGTAGCCCGTGAACAGGATATAAATTTATCCAAATTCGAGCGCAGGCAGAAGTTCTTTTCGCTTATTGGTGATTTTTCCTTAAGACGTCAAACAATCCTTTGGAAAACAAACTTTGGGTTTCCCTAATGGATATTTTCCTGTTTTTTCCTTATAGCTATGTGGTCGGTACAGAGGAGGGACCCATCCACAAATGCTCTTGTTCATACAACGAACAGTATTTGGAAACATTCCTTGGCCATACAGTGAGTTGGAACAATTATCATTACATTCGGGAGCATCGATATATTAGACACTGAAAAAACAAGCCAAACAATCCAAAAATGGTATGTGCCTGAAGTAAATTCTCTAAATCAGCCACAGGGTCGGTTTAAATGCGTTCAGATTCCAGCTCTGAAAGTGGTTGAAAACTGCTTTAATCGTCGCGTATTGGTAAGATAAGTGTTTGACTTTGCTTTAAAAGCCATCGTATGAATACCTCACGTGATTTCGTAGTTATTCTCTTCATGTTTGCATGGTGACGTATGTCAAAGATTATACAACCAGCACATGATTTTCAGGAAAAACTATACTTCCCGTCTCAAATATTCTAACGTTCCTTTGATTTTATTCACTTACAGATAAAAGTAACAACGGTTATTAGAGGTATTTACTTTTAGTGGCAGTTAGAAGTGTGGGAAAACCTATAGAGTTGCAGGCTGACATCTGATTAATGGGTCGACGAGTCCTGAGCGAGGCTAGCAAAATAGGAATCCCTCACGACGACGATTAGTTCCTTTGAACTAGATAAAAAGTTCTCCTACAGACAGTAACCTTAGCCCAAAAGACAGTTTCCTGCGTCACGTGAAATTTCGTTGTAACTGACCGTAAATCTCGGCTCCAGAATTTTTGTGATGGAAATATTCACTTAACGATACCACAACAGCTTTATTGTGAAAAGGGAGAATTGAAGTATTTTGAAAGTATTCCTGAGCCTAAATCAAGGCTGTCAGGTTGATGTTGACTGATCGATTGAGATTGATTCTAGGTTACGCTTGAGCACTCTGTGTGCTCGAGTCGCCCTTCCACTGGCTGTTCTAGCGACTATTTTCTGGAATCTGGCTTTCTTGTCAACTTAACTTGAAGAATGATTCAAAAATTACCAGGCACCCAATAGTGATCAGGGGATTCCGTCCTATTGGACACTGTAGTCTCCCAACAGGGACCACCCCTTTCCAGAAAACAAAATTTGTGAATAGCGTTCAGCATAACAATCGATTAGGATTTGCCCTGACGAGCCAGGATTTTCAACAGCCAAGTTTACTCCAACTGGTTACCTCAGATGCGCATTCTTGAAATTATCTGCTAGGCTTAATTACTGAGCTTTCTGCATAACGGTATGTCCAATGCCTTACCTATAGTACAGAAAATAACAGAGTTTACTGGTTCTGTTTTCCTAGTTAGAGCCACAGGCGCTTCACACTATTCTTAGTATGATCGCTCAAAGACGAATTAGCTATGAAGTGAGTGACCCAAGTCTTTATACAATCAGACTGTAAATATCAATGTTTTATTCTCCGATACAATGAATGAAAATCATTTAATTGAGCTAAAAATACCTCATTGGACATCTCACAAGTGACATAGATCTGTTAAAAACAATAAAGGGTTATGGTAACGTCGAAAAAGCGAAGAATCACATGACTCTTCGTGTGCTTTCCCCCGTAGATGCATTGGTAGATTGCGTTCGTCCCATTCGGTAATTTTTGGGTGCAATATTCAGCTTTCAAATGTTCCTTTAGGCCTACTAATATCACATGCTTAAGATGCCCTAACTAATAACTACCACACCCACAAGGGGTATCAAGTGATTGCCTTCAAGCTGAATGTAGTTTACTCATGAATATTAACTATGTTTGAAAAAAATACTGAAATGTTACCAGTCTATATTGGCTTCATCCAACTTGGAACTTCCGCTGTTCAGCTTGTCGACATGGTTGTCCGTCAATTGAAAGCTGAATGCTTAACGTGAGGTGAGGTTCGGCCAAAAGGGTTTGACGTTTGGCTGATCTGCCCATATTGGCTTATCAGTGTTGTTCCGCATGCAATCACAAATCTGAAAACGATCAGTCAAACAACTCAAGGAAATATGTAGCAAATAACACTTAACAGTGATTTGTTTTAAAACCCTAGAAAGGGTCACAAAGAGCTTCGTTTACGTAGTCATACAGTGCGGAAAAAATCTATCACACCATCTAGGGAAATTTGGGTGCGTCGGGTTGTCGAAACCACTGCTCTTCTGTTTGTTTATTCAGGTGATTTGGTCGCAACTAGGCCGCCCAGCTCAGGAAAAAGGAAAACAATCGACGTAGAGAATTTTCTAGCAGATTCTCACTTTTGTTTTCTATGATATTTCAGACGGAATGGGAGATATGAACAAGCAAGGGATTCGCTATAAAATTAGGCGTCTGGTTTACGAACTACTTAGTTGTTCTATAGGAAATATTTGAACATGTCTCATGGAGTCTCCTATTTGGGGGACAGCTCCATACATGTGTGGTGTCTTGCATAGCTCCCTGGTTGGCCTTCTAAGGATGAGCAAGCCCTTCTTCATTTTTCATTGCGATCACACGGCCTAGCAAATTTATTCAAAATATCATAACAATAATAATGATATAATATCTAAACAGCATAACATCATTGATCTGATGCCACCCTCACCTTAACATATCTTCGGTCGTCTAATTTTTTCCCACCAAATATCAGGCATTAGGATAATGTCCTATGGCAACGTGTCCATCTGCCTCCCAATGGTTAGTGGAAGCGGCCGTTTACCTCATGGGCCTAGAAGACCACGGTTCCTTCCAAAATGTCTACACGCTTCGGGTGTTCATTGTTAAGGGTACACTTTAACTTTGTTACAGCTGATGTCCCTTAAAATAGATTTGCAGAGCCCGTAGCCATTTGTGGTTGCTGGTCACTGAACCGTCACTGAATTGTCCAGTCTAACTGTCATCAAGGTTAATTTATCCAACTCACGGATGGCAGGAACAGTGACCTAGAACAAACATGGATGACGCATATACCTTTAGGAAGTACATGAAAAATGTGGTTTCATTATCTTCCGGCGGTATCGTAACTGGTTCACCGTCGACTTTGGCCGTTTTTAGTTGGTCGAGTATCGCCACGTTGAATCAAGACAAACCTTCTGTTGAGAAAAAAGCATTTGGTTTTTAAAGGCAAATCTCACAAGGATCTTGTTGAATACCGATAAAGTAAAACCATGCAAGTGAAATATGATTGAGTGAGTAATCTCACCAACACTGTGCGATCATCTAAGCGGTGAACAGGATGTCTAAATTAACGGCCAAGGCTACAAGGTACATTCGAGGATTTGTTGCAGTGTACATATCCACCGGAAAACCCGGTCTGTGCTCAGGTAATCACGGTTTTTAACCTTGTCTTCCAGTGAACTGAGTGCACGATACAGTGTGCGGCCAATCGTGACGATCGAACATCCTCTCTCGTCACAACTAAAGAGTGAACACTAACCCTAGTAGGCTATTTCGGCGTTTTCCGCTTTCTGAAAAAAGCGTCCCCTGTTAGCCGAGCTGAAACCGTTAAATGTTTCCGCTCCTTAATTGGAATGTTGGGATTTCGCCCATGAATTCGGTAGGCCATGAAAAAATGGTCCTCTTAAGGACAGAAGTTTTCTTACGGAAGGATCAAATATAAAGGCCATTGTGCCAGTATTAAAGAGTCCTGTTTTGTGACTCCAATCAGCTACCATGATGCTGTTGCTTTTTGCGGTCACATATCACATTTTTCTGTCCCAAACTAGAGGCATGGAGTGTGCGGCTGGATTTCGACTTGCCTACATACCTTTGGCCTTCCTAAGAAGTGACATACCCTGACAGTTGTTCCTCTAATTACTATAACAGCTTAGTTGTTTTTCTGCCCAAATACTTTGAACTTTTTGGGTACTGGGCTTCCCAATAGCAAGATTCTTGAGTGACCTAGTTGTTGTTTTAACTTGCCTGAGACAGATAATCGAAAATCCACGTATCGTTCCGCTCGACATGCCTTCTGGGATTAATTATAGCTGCGACCCCTTGATTCTATAGATGTGGGAACCAAAGCCATTGTTTCCTTTGGTTTTCACACACATTTGCACACCCAACATGATTCGAAAAGATTGAATGGCATAGTCGGCCTCTACCTAGGCAAGGCACGTGGATCCGAACTTAGTGTAGTCCTTCCCTGGGGGCTTGGAATCAAATTCCTGGGGAGCGAGGGAAGGCGGCAGAGAGTTCTGATCTCGTAATTATTTATGCGCAGCCTTGCAGCTGTCCAATCATATGAAACCAGGATTAATTTCCTGCGACCGTGTGCTGTTGCAATGACATGAGCCTGATTGATAACCGTTCCTGACTCTAACTCGATTCTCTCTTCATTATCCCCACCTTGTGACAGCTGGTTGGAACAGGTGAGGATTTTATGCCTCAATATGTTAGCATCGTCTTCTGTTTTTTGGCCCAAACAACGTAGATTACGGGGCCAGAACCAAGATATTCAACGAAAATTCACGCAATGGGTACTGACGGTGCTGGAAACAGCGTCGTTCGTAGTCCTCGTTTTTACGGAACTTCATCTGTTGGACGAACAGACCCAGCATTCCCAAATCCGCGTCAATGGTCCAAGTTTATGTCTAAAGCCTGTGGAAAGTGCATGGCATCACATACAAGAGTGTCTTTCCTCGAAAAAAAGATAATCCTTATCCTCGAACGGGAAGGAAACAACATGAACTGGTTTAAAACACTTAACCATAGCAGACACTTTAAGGCCTTAGTTTATTGTCAAATAATTAAGTGCTTTGGGGAAATGTGAATTTTTTTCAGAATTTTTGTTTTTCAACATTCCTATTAGCAGAGGATGGCGTCTTAAGATAACACGGATTAAAGTGGCATTAATATATTGTATAGAACCACACATCCTTTTCCAGTAAAAACAACGAACAAGAAAACTTCTGCATGTTGCTGAATCAACATATGGGGAATGAAAAATCGTGGCGTCCAGGAGTCCTATTTGAACTCTGCCCCCGTAATCCACTCTCTAGTCATGATAGTCGTGTTATCCGGACACCTGCCTGTTCAGTTGATGCAGTAACTTTTCAAGAATACGGGACTATTTGTGGTGTCATGGTCCTCATTTAGGATTTGGAGACGGAATGTGGTAGAATGTGGACAGTGAGGGATTAAGTGGTAGAATTCAGCACTGGATTGTTCAATAATAAATCCTTCAAAATCCGTTACCTTTGTTAGGAGAAAGCTTGTTGCCAAAGTAAGCCGCGCCCATAGTGTTTGGTGTACACCGGAGCTTTTTTCCACGAAACGCAAGACCATGGAAAATGCGTCGTGATCAGGAAAGACGACTATGTTTACTGAGAATTTGCTAAACTGACTTATGAGAAAACCAACCCTTTTCAATCAAGATGTTTGTAATTTCATGTTGAAAATTGATCCCTACTGTCACAGAAGTCAGACAGCCCATTAAAAGTTCAATATGGCCTCCTCATTTGCCGTTGTTGTTTATTAAAAGTAGATAACTTGTTCTTTTGCAAAGTATTCATAGTTGCGCGGCCTGAAGACAAGCCGAGCTCTGCAATCCTTACCAATTTAATGTAAAGTATCCCTGTTTACAAAAGCCGAATAGACATCCTAAAACAAGTGTACAAGCAGTTAACCATTTTTCTAAACATGAGCCTAAAAGGTTCTTCCAACAAACTAAAGCGACAAAACCCCAGTGCCCTCTTTTTTAATTGCACTGCACCAGGAGAAGTTTATGTTGAAAACCGGTTTAGTCAAAAGTTTTTGAAAAATTGTCTTCCAATTTTCTCGGCTTCTGGTGTTCTTTTCTTCCGCAAGACTGGTGTGCATTGATCACGCGCTCAATTAGCATCCACGCAGAATGTTTATTCACCTGGCTGATGCTTTTCTGAATGAGTTAATAAAAGTTTGATGGCTTTTAGTCACGTGACTAAGCCCAAGAAACATTTCTGGTCTATTCATGAAATATTCGAGCCATCTTGCACCGTTCAATCATTTTGATTAGTAAGCCGAATGGAAAAGCAGATAAACGCTGTTTGACATGCTTTTTACTGTTCCTATTTTGTTCTCCATCATTTTGCATACGTGTGCGACCAAACATAAAACTGCAAGTGTCTGTTATACAAGTAGTATTTGATAGCAATCAATGCATCTAATTTGAGTTCACACAATAATACTGATGGTCTTCCGTAAACTATTGTGATAAAATACCGAACATCCTCCAAATACAAAAAAACGGTGATGCTGTATCGTTCGCCGAAAATATGGCCCATAATGGTAAGAGTTTGTCCGCGGTGATAATTTCGAACACCACTGAGTCATTGGTACATTCTTTCATTTTTACCTGAAATGCATTCTAACGTTTTTAGTTGATACTGAAATCAAATATTCTTAGGCTGACGGATGGCTGCCAATCTTCAGTTCCAAAGGCTGGACATCTACAAAAGTTCACTGAACGCTGAGCCGGCAACTGCCCTTTTGTGCTGATAGACTTATAATCTCAGGGTTCGTTATAAGCAAACCATTCGCGCTTCTTGTCGAAAAATGACAACCTGAGATCAGATTTACATATACCAGACTGAGTAATCAATTCCCTCTTGAAGGAGTAAAAGAAGCTTCCGAGGTTATGACCAACTTTAAGGCGTCTTAATTTTCAAAGGCTACTACAGTACTCATGTGAAATTTTACTGAAATAAACGGTACACTGAAATCCTGTTTATTTGACCAAAAACCTAAAATGGCAACAGGTCAACCCATTTTCACTCTAGTTTTCTAACAAGAGTAGAGTATATGGCCTCGATTGCCTTGTGATGTATTACAAAGCTCTGAAGTGAATTGATAATATCTGAAGAGATCAAAAACATTTCATACATAGTTAAGAAGTTCCTGAGACTGAGTAACAACCAGAGGGATTGAACAAAGTTGTGGTTGATGGACCGGAGGTATTTAGACAAAACGGATTCTTATATTGCATTCAGCCCTCTCAGTAATCCTTATGTTAGTATGCTACTTAACCACGTCTTCGGAGACAAATTCGACTGGCCAATACTAAAGCGAAACTTCTTACCCTTCAAGCTTTCGGATTATGTGTGGACATAATAGTATATTGTACCGATTAATTTATCTTAAAATACCTATCTTGCCACTTGTCAAGTTTTGACCGTTCATGTGGAATCCGGAAACCAAAAACTATAAATGAAAGCCCAAGCTTCCGAATTTCTGGAAGGCTAATATCCGTAGAAACGCCCCGTTTACTTCTCTTCTAATGGATAGCTTTGTTCTCTGAAGATAGTCATGGAATAACGTGGCATCTTACTAGCCTGGGTGGCCTCTTTTGATATCTTCAGTGTCCCAAGACAAGAAACGGATTAATCAAAGTAACTTTTTTGGCAATTCATATACTCACCGACACAAATCTTTCGTTGAACTAGGCTCCAGTTTACCAAATCGAATGGTCTCCATTCGTCCCAGACGTATTTTTATCGTGCTCTGCGGACTGGACGATCAAGTTGTGGCACCTGGATCACACCTCCGCTCTGACAAGCATTCAGACACATATTGTGAGTCCTATTGCTAGTTGCTCCCTATTTTTGACCCATGTATGTAAGTGATCCAGCTCAAACGGTATGTTTACTTCTCACCGTTCCCGAAAAGTTGTTGTTAATCGGAAATCGCCTTCCATTACAGAAATTTTGGTTGTTTTTTGGGCCTCGGTACACACCATTTCGAAGTCTGTAGTGTCCAGCAGCACGTTTTGTTAGTGGATCAAAATGTATGAAAATTTGCAAGCATGAACAATAACGGGAGAACCCCTTGTTTTATCGTGTCTTAAGTGGATACTCGAGCATTAGTTGGCTATTTTTTCTCTGACTGCTGTTTACATAGTCCTCCAGTCGTTCACCACAGGCATGCAGAAGGACAGAACTTTTCAACAGCGCACTGAAGCAGTTCATATCCACAAGAAGCTCTGTCCAGACAGCGTTCTTATACTTGACCGAAATAGGAATCGGTGGAACATGCGCTCAGACTTTCTGATTCCGAAACTGAGTTAGCTGCCAGTGTGAAGGCTAGCAGGAGGGTCAGGAAGGACAGTATTCTAGTGAAAGGATTAACAGAGGCCTGGAGTCCAGTAGAGTGAATCTATCTTTCAAATGTCTCTGAATGTGACAACACCATGAGTTTTATCATTTTAGCGTCTCAATTTTTGACCTGTTGCGTGTTTTGCGGCACACAGCAAGTGAACTACTGCAACTTTTGGCTTCGTTTTTTATTGCAAAACTCACACTGTCCATGGGTAGCTAAACCTCAGGAAATACACTGGTAATTCTGTAACTTTTCACGTGGTGTGCAGAATACCCCTATCAGACAAAACCTTCCGTAAAATCACATACAGAGCTTGCCGTTTAGTGCGGTAAATTTTGGTTGCTTTTTTTAGCTCTGGAACACGCCACCGTGAAACATGAAGTAAACAGTTTGCAAACAGGTGCAAATCTATAAAGAAATTGCCAGTCACCCATTTCGCCACTGAAAATACTAGTGAATGTCTGAGTTTTGGAAGACACTATCACAGATGGTCTTATTTACTACAGATGGTTATTGAGTCTTCCGGTCTTTTTCATAGTTTAACTTGAAAATAAGTCAGACATAAACAGGATGTAAATTTTGCCCACGAATGTGACCGGGGACGACGTGGCGTTATATGCGGCTCAGTGGAGACTTATGAACTTCCACATTCAGTTTGAAAAGGTACCAGTGAAAGGGAAGGTGCCCTTACTGCGGAGTTATTTATTAGATAAACAACAACTGAACAGTTACAGACTATTGGACAGGGAAGCAAAACTATCATATGCATCTTCTTTTACAAAGACTGAATATGCATCCTCGCTTTGAACTCGTTTTCCTGAACTTCTCTGGATATTCATTGAGTGGTGCTCAAATCCAAGCAAATACCACAAAGCGATTCCACAAATTCCGTAATAGATCCGACTTTTCAAGAGACGCAAAGCGGATTTACGAGAAATCATACTACTCGTATGCTTCCCTCATCAGTAGTATCACCGTTACACTAGTAGTCTAGTTAGGCTGACTATCACAGCCCTGCTTTAGAAAACGAAAGCAAAAATAGAAACGTAGGTGTCCGACCCACACTTTCCATGCATAAAAGGAAACTGGCAATTCTGGATTTTTAGAAACTATGAGTATACCGAATGGCCATTAGTTTGTTGGCCTTGGCTTACCTGTTTACAGTAAGCGAGAACAACCTCTTGACACATCTTTCCTCAGTAGATTGACGTGAGTAATGAAAGAGCATCTCTTTCACTTCCCGGAACTCGTACTGGATTTATTTAAGTTCAGCATCTGGTTTTGTGCCAGCATACACATTTTAAGCATGATGTGGTGTCTGCTTACAGGAAAAGTGGGACGTTCTTGCAAACCATGGGAAGTTTTTTCAACAGTGTCCGCGTTACTACTTGCTTACTAGCCGTTTGCAGATAGTAGAACTTTCTTATACCAGGTAAGTAATTAGATGGCTTCGCTGGTTACCGGCATTTAATACCGATGCTTTATCTCCCATTAGTCAATTACTTCCTGAAGAACACCACTTTTACCAGGTGACAACTATGAAGGTGGTTTATATTTATGCTGATTATTAGGAAAATCCAAACAGTTACCAAGCGAATATAACCATCTCAAAAGATCATTCCTTCATGATGTTATATCTTTATGCCGTGTGGCATTTTACTTGTTTGGCTGAGATATCAGCCAGTAAAGGAACACAAATGAAAATACGATGCTATCTATCCCCCCTGAGAGTTCATGTGAAGACAGCTGCTTTCAGGAGAAAGAGAAGATGAGGTGGTCCCAAATTTGTTCACACTATTAACGAACCGTGGCTCCAAAAGGAGGAAAGTAGGTCTAATTAAGGAGCTCTGTTCCATCCATCAGCGGTGTTTGAGAGCCACTCCCTCGTATTGCTTAATAAACTCCTCTAAAAAGACTTTTCTATTTCGTCCAAATTTATAAGGCTGATTTATTCAAATGCATATATTCACGGTAAAAGTAGGCCACCTGATGTCCCTAACTTCCAGCAGCTTTTCAAAAACAAAGGTGGGAACTGTTTTTGTTATATGTTCAAATTGAAAAATTTTCATAAGAATAGTCGTCCAAGCTGCATATGTTTTGCTCACTTTCTTCATCAACTAACAAGAGCCAGTAGTCCATCGTGGAGCTTTTGTGTGTGCAAAACCGTAGAAACTTTTCAGTATTTTAAGTGTGGTTATGCTCTTGGGTAAACAGTCTTCCAGTAAATAAAGGAACAGTTGACTTGCACTATTAGAAGCGACAATCTGAAGTTCCGGATACCTTATACCAATAGCAAGGGTAGCCATTTAGCTCATCCATTTTAACTTATTCCGGTTAGGATTTATAATGGTTCCCTGTTCTTCCGCCCAAGCAATAGATGCTCCTGTCTATAATGATAAGGTGGCTACATTTGCTATCATGAGTTTAGTGCCAAAACTCTGAGCGCTCTGTGTAGCATTGTCTAGACACCATTTACAAGCAACAGCTCGTGTCCGAATGGTCAACTTTCCAAATTATTACTCAGGAGGCCGCGGTCTTGAGATTCTGTGGAATTTCATAAGATATACCAATCTGGTGATTCTCAGTAAAGAAGAAACAGCTATACAGTGCGTCAGCTTCTTGGCATGGACTGGCTTCACCTACAGGACGAAATCTCCGATAAAATTCCAAATTCTCCACACACTACCAACAATATATAGACATCTTAAAATTACTTATACTCCACGAGCCCATTCTCGCAGTTGGTATCCAATAGTGTGTTCAAGTCACCCTTGCACAACAGGACTCTATGGTGATTTTTGAACTGCCAATTACCCCCCGGCGTTAACTATAATTTCTTCGTAGACGAGAATTTCCTCTTGTTCTAACTTGGCATTTGTGGAAGAATTACCAATTAAATTACCTTAGCACAGCTAATTTAATCAAACTGAAGGAGAAATTACTCGATTTCCGCGTATCGATTGGCTGTCACCTAACAGGCGCTAAGTTGGACAGAGATTTGTATCGTGAACGTTCCAGGTGCGTGTTGTAGTTGCGTTCGCGTCTTTCCGAATCAGACTTACATTATTTAATCCAAGCTCACCGAAAAGTTAATAAACGCAAATCTCAGTGCAGGTGCAGGTGAGGCTTTTCATTTTTTAGGCTCCTGCTGGAATTTCCCCGCGACTTCGAAATGCTAACGAAGAGAAAAAATAATCTTTTCCTGGTTATTCGGACCACACGATGAGTATTTTGGCATGACCGACCTGATTTCACCCCATCGTGATGTATCCGGGGTTGCGATAAAAATTTGTGTTCTACTTCCATATTCAGAATGTATGCTGAGAAGTAAGCCACTACATTCTGGAACAGTCCTATTCAGCTACTTTATTCTAGTTAGACTCGATTAATTTGTTCATCTCCGAGTAACTGTAAGAAATGTGCCATCTTCTTGAACTTTCCACAGTGTCGGGAATCAGTGGAGTTCAATAAGACATTTAAACACCATTCCGAGGTCTGAAGAAATTCCCAAAAATCCCCTTCCCTACAAGACAAGGCAATAGTTAACCTGAGCGTCCAGGAGAGGGTCATTCAATTCTTAACGGTTGTGTATTTTGCGTGGCAGGTTAACGCCTGGCGATATCATAAGAAACTGATTTCTCTTCGGATGCCCTGTATCAACAAATCCGTGTCATTAATCAACTGAATCATTTTCCCGGTGTTTTTTAACGAGAATTGAGATAATCACTCTATCCGAAACCTAAATACTTCATCTTGTGTTACTCTTGAATAAGTGGGCAGAATTTACTGGCACCGAACTCGACCGTCTTCCTTCGCTAATAAAGCTAATAAGGTTTTTTTGTCTAGACTGGTCTGTACTTGGTTTTCCCCCACAAGAGTACGCTTTTGCTTGCTCTCTTTAGGGGGTAATTACGTGTATGTGCATGTCCTGTCGGATTTTCTACAGAAAAAAGTTTGAACATTTACATTTAGGTTGAGCATTTTACATGGGTCGAATTTCATATTAACAAACTAGGTTGTTTCGCAGCTGAGTTCTAACCCTAGTGACTAGCGTTTCGTGCTGATGCGTAAAGCCACTGAACAATTTCAAACAGCACAAATTTATGATAAGTCTTCCATAAGGATCTGTGAAGTCCCACGAGTAACCAGACGCAGTTTTGTAAAAAAAACAGGGTTGGTGATGAAACAAAATTACCATAAAAATTCCCACGAGTACCAGACGCAGTTTTGTAAAAAAAACAGGGTTGGTGATGAAACAAAATTACCATAAAAATATTCCGGTCCTAGAGCACCAAAGACGGAGATGATTTTTCCCGTTTACGAACAAAATGCAGTCAAAATACTACCGAAATTCAGTTAAATGCAGTTAAATTTCAGCACAGACCCCGCGAAAAATAAAGCTACACAAAAAGCCGTTAGATGAGTACCGTGGAACATGCACTGCCATAACCATTGAAAGTAAGGTCGACGGATCCATGCTTATCTTATTGATTGTAATTCGCCAAACCGTAGATTGACGCGCGTTTGGAGGTGTTAGTTTTGTTTGTTAAACATGGATATTGATGAAGATCAGTGACGACCAATGCTCACTAATGGTTTAAGACATTTAATTTAAACATTTATTGAATTAAACCTACTCGATGTGCGAGTTATCTGTCCCTCTAACCGATGCTCATTCATGCACACCAAAGTGAGGATATTTTCTTTTAAATGCCTTTACGTTTCGACGGAAACTCAACGGATAGTCTATAGCTAATAGTTCAGCTGTTTCCAGGTTCCCTGGTTTGGAATCGGTCGGCATACATCCTTTACAATAACTGACGCAAAGTGCATTGCATGGCATATTGGTTCGTGATAAAACAGTAGTGTGCATAGTCTCTTTTAGTTCGAAGTGGAGGGGGATGAGTTCGTAACTCATTCGTTTACCCAGTGAAATTCAGCGCAAAAATATTTTATTAGACTGTTAAAGGCATATGTCTTTGGATGCAGTGAAAATTCGGTTAGTTTAAGTGGGTGTATTAATGTTTCGCGATTGCCTTTTCGATCTAGCAATCCAAACTACCTGTACAATTGCTCATTGAATTTCAGTGGAAAAGTAGTTGGTGCACTAGTGGCACAATTAACGCGGAGCACAAGAATGCCCGTACGTTTTACATGGTGCTTTATTCCGTGTAGGGCAAACCGAATCCACTTGGGCGTCACAGAATATTGCTTGGATTCATGATGTTAGCCAACTCCTTTGGGTTTGAACAAGTTGTCCCTCAACGCGCCTATAGCCTGTGCTGGAAAGTCACAAAATTCCTGTCGCAAGCAGTGAACAATGTGTATTTACGGACTCCTCAAAAAGATTCCCGTTTGAGACCGTGCAAATCGAGACCAGAACTCTTTCGGGTAATGACGATCTGATTATTGCATAGTCAAAATGCATTACTGTTTAACAGAAAAAGAATTACAGCAGTGTTTGCGAACAAAGATTATCTACAAGGAGCGGTGGTCTTAGTTTGATCAACAGTAAAAACTACGAATATTTTAGTGTCCAAGTGGACTGGTAATAGTGTTGCTATACAATGAAGATGGCTGGTTAATGAAAAGCACACTCAGGGTGTTCACGAGAGACTCACCTGAAGCCCAGCTGAAACCGTCGCTTATGATGGCAAGTGTATGTTCTTACTGCCTTTTGTAGTGCCCATCACCAAACAGTCCCTCTTTAAAGATCACCTCTACTGTCTTCGAACATCACCACCGTGATGAACGTTGGGACAACTCCGCTAAGAAGCCACTACCTCGCAAATGCCAGAAGGGATATTAATAGCTACTCCTTTGAGTTCAAGCTTGTTTGTGATTCCATCATAACAGTATGCTTCTTCAAATCTCAGCAAAAAATGCTCGCATACCTGTTTCCACCAAAAAAGAGTTTGCTCTGTTGATACGACATCATTACTCCAACATTTATTTACCTATGCTATGAACGTAAATCTGTCCACATGACTCCGGATATTGGGGAATGTTTTCAATCCATTGTGCTCTAGAAACTGTCATCACAATTCACAAATTCCAAAGTTCAAATCTTCCACAAAATTTTCACTGTGAAGATGAAAGATTCGCGTATTTGTTCGACGGTGACACTTGGTTTGTGCCACATAACTCTGGTTTCATTCCAAATGAAATCGATCTGTCTTATATCGAGAGATTCAATTCCCCCATGAAAAACAAACTGATGTGCAAATAAGTGTATTTGTCGGAATGAGTCCAATTTGGGTTCAAGTAGAACATAAGGCTGACTGAAGATTGGGATGACCTGATGAACGTCAAAAAGTGTGAACCCGGTCGTTGGCTGTCGAAGGGTTTTCAGAAATCTTGTGAGTAGCTTCCTGTATGAAAGTATACCGCAATATCTCGAACATCGTACCAAGTGAACCATAAGGCGACATTTGTTCAGAACATTCAACCGAAGAATACCATAAAAAATCAAATCTAGAATCAGATCTAGTCCTAGTTAGACCCGACAAAGGTGGTCTCTTTTGACATACAGTCTATTCTAGGGAGTAATCAATCATCAAAAACTTAAAAGAAGACCGACCACAAGTGGTCGAACGTTAGATTACGTGAAAGTCTTTTACCCAAACTTACATCCCGTCCATCAGCTCCGGACCACATCGCATAAGAGTAAATTGAAGTCGTGTGGAAGTCGTGTGGGATATCTAGCATATTACCTACAGAGTTTATTTTCAACAGTCATGTACAACCTCTACTAAATCATGTTTACTGGACGACCAATGTATTTTTATCCCTCACAAGAACGGGACCATTTGCCACAACTTAGCGCATGCACACCAACTAGACGGGGAGTAGAATGCATAGATAAATTCTAAACCTCATGCTGTCTCATATTTTGCTGTTTTGTTAGGGCTATGCAATTTTTCCTTAAATGTACTTTTTATAGACTTCCAAACTAGCGAAGCTTCATACTGCTTTTCAAGAGGCAGACATTTTCATTAATTTTCTGTGTATTCTGAGGAGCTCAGCAATGCCGAAAAGAAGTGAATGTGAACCCCAACAACTTTCTTTCCACTCCAGAGCATGGTTTCATCCATATCCTGGTCACCATACCACTCACTGATTTTCGCATCTGCGAACGAGTCAGCGCTGGAAATTTGGAATCTTGACAGCTCCACGTAAGTGTACATTAGGTCTGCAGATTCTCTGTCAGTACTTTGACCTTCCGTTGATCCATTTCACCAGCTCACAGCATGTGGTTTATGGAGCGTTTCCACAAGTAAAGAGACAATTTGCTTCCCACAACACTTATCCTTGTGACTACGTGTCTGTGAAAGCTTGAACATTTTGGGGCTTCCATCCTTAGGATCGAAGACCGTGACCAGATCGTTTTCCCTGCAAATGTTTTTTTTCAGATGGATGTCTTGTTCCTTCTGCACTAGTAGACGATTCCACGTCTATCGCCCAACGACAACAGTAGTAGTAAAACAGTTGTCACCATACAATCCATCCCAATAATAGTCTTGTTCTTTTGGCCCTCGAGAACATGTGTGAACCCGTGTTTTTTCACATAACTGGTCACCGGATCTCTTATAATTAATTTGGCACCTAATGCTATTAAACTACATGACAGCCGCTTGCACTATTTTCACAACCACCATACTAGATCCATTTTACTCATTGAATCCGTGAGTATGCCATTCTCATTTCAAAGGGTTTCTTCTACCTCATGTGTTTTTTTTTTCAGGATCGAACCATATGTAATCGAAACGGTGTCCAGTGATTCCAACATGACCTCGGTGCTTTTCTCTGAATGCAGCGATGTAAGTATGATTTTGACGCACCCGTATATGTCCGTTTTTTTTCCATCAAATGCACAAATTTTCATATGGTAGCTTGCTCTAGTATCCCTCAAATGATTTCCCACACCATAAAACCATAAGCTCTTCCTCTGTCAAAGAAACCGCTTTGGTACGACTCTGACAAAATAGACTGGACAATGATTGATACAAACTCTCAACTGGTGTCAAGTACATTCCAAAGGCACAACCTTGGTACTCCGAAGACCGGCAACCAGAATTTGTGGCCAACAGCGTAGGTGCCATTTCTTACTTCAAACAGATATATTTCTTCTTCGGCTGAAGGTGTTTTCAGCAGCCTACCTCGCCAATACTGAATATCGACTGTGATGAACAAACCAATATCTATAAAGTGATCAGGCACGGCAAGTCCCCTATGGAATACAGGATACTGTACAGCGCAGGAGAGGTGATTCTAGTCTGGGACTAAAACCACTGAGTTAACAGCAAAGTCTCATTACTCAGAGAACCAAAAAACAATCGTTCTGCATTGAATGTGGTTGTTTCACTTCGGCCACTTCAAACTCGACCTCCAGGCCCAATGCAATGAAACAAATTTATTAGCGAAGTCCATACTATCCTAAGTGGCGCTGCCGAGCCTAAAAACACAAAACCATCCGGGGTTGCAGAAGTTTGGTGCAATTTCGGCAACTCTAATTGTGTGGTGTGTTTAAATCAATGCGTTCCGGGTTGACGATTTCAAGAATTTATCACAACCTTCTTCCATGGAACATTTCAATAGCTTTCAGAATTAGTTCCTACTAGATTCTAGTGTCATCTCATTCGGATGATTCGTCGAATTGTCTAGAGTAAGCTAGCGGTAAATTATCAACAATTTTTGGCTTAGTCTTCGTCTCTCAAAAGCTCGTCACTGTCGGAAGTAAGCTGCTATTACTTTACAGTGAAATCAGGTTGATCATCGTATCCAATGTAACCTGAGTATGCAACCTACATAGGGGCTGTCATGTACATAACAGTATCTAGAGGTTGTTCTGTTTCTGTGCTTATGTGAGTAATGCTATTCGACGTTACAGGGAGACAGACTAACTATCCACCATACTGACTTCAATAAAACCTGACCAGTTCCTTCTGGTAGAATCGAAACAAATACAGTGGACTGACTGACCTCAATCACTACTAACTTCCATTCATTTGTAGGGCACTAACAGAAAAATCAGAAAACTGTGGGCGCTTACTTACGTGCTTGTTCCTCTGTTGACTGTGGGCCAAATCGAGATGTTTACGTAGCTCCCTAAATATACCACTGCTGGACAGCTACGACAGAATGAAACATCCATTCGACAGAAACTCGTTGAGATTGTACCGATAAGCGTGTTTATGCAATGTTTTGCGAATACCTGGTGGACTAGAAACATATTTGCTAAGTAGTCAGAACGCGTAGAAATTTTGATGAGGTTTTTTAGCCAAGACATTTTGGACTGTTTTCGTCAAACTCCGTCGAAAATCAAGAGCACCGGGGCAATTTTACTATGTGAGCTTATGAAAGGTCGACTTGACCGTACATCCGTTGGAAGACGTTGAAGTCAGCGTGAATACTAACGGTCTTCGCTAGAAAATGCACATGAGCAATTCACCACTGATATGCACGCGAAGAGTAGTTGAACATGCCTTCAGGGTTGCTAATATTCGGAAGCCTCACTTTGTCCATGCCAATGAAGTCCGTTTTGGTACAGTGTGATAACGTTCGTCTCCTACTCTTCGACACAAACCTCATTTATCTTCAGTTTCATTCGCCATTTTGTCAACGTATGTTCGTTCCCTAGTTGACTAACCGTTTTACCGTCGTATATTTTGGAGTGCTTGGGGAACAACTGCTTCACAGTCAGAACAGTGGAGTTTGTCTTCCGGATCTTTGAGATAAACTTGAAATGTGAGCAGAATCCCAAAAAGAGCTTGGGATAACTTTCCATTTTGAGTCCCGCCCATGCACCGAACAACCAATAGCTCCTGAGTGCTACCTCCGTATACATGCCAGATACATTCGCGGGCTTGGAATGTCAACGAACAAAATTCTATATCGCACCTGGTATCTTGTCTGTCCAGCTTTTATCATGTGCTCTCACTTTAATAACTCACTTTGGATTATTTATTTTCTTACTTTGACAAAGAACCAGCCACATTTTCTTACGGCTCTGATGTGATCTGCCTAACATTTATCCCTCGGGAATACAAAAATCTATTCTCGCATTTTACTACACAAATGCGCAGTGAGGAAGCACCTAGAGAAAAGTGGCATCAATTTTCAAAGTTCAAAAGTCAAATCAAACCAGAGAATAGTGTCTACATACATGTTTTATCCGAAAGATAGAGCTGAACGTTTGGAAGAACGAAATCAAAGTAGCTGCTGGCTGCAGTGCATGTGCTGATACAATAACTCACTCAAATTGGTGCTTTGTAGTTCCATAATATGTGCATATGTACATCCGGTTTTGATGTGACTCATGCCTCACTATTGGAAACTCTGTGAATTATTAAAAAAAAAGGTCTTATTTTGTACAAATTTGCAATTCAGAGATCATTTCCCACCGGAACTTGCGGATAGGGCCTCGCCTGCATCAGATAAACCGCGCTGATGTTGTTTCATCTCTGTCACACAGAATGTACACACAGGTCGATGTTGCTCTTTACTCGCTTGAGCCCTCTGCTCCTGAGTTCCCAAAGGACATCGTCCAGGGATGCAGCCTGAAGGTGGAACTTGCTGGTGACGTAGACATGGTTGTTCGGCCGGATCAATACCAGTTACTAGCACCGCGTGCAAATGGGATATATATGAAGAAGCTAAGCGAAGGGTTTCTATTTTGGATAGCTTGCGATTCATAGGTTCCGTAGGGATGAGACGTCGAAGCATGAGAAACGCATCGTTCACACTGGCCGTTCGAGTACGTTCCCGTTCGTTGGCTACTCGCTTGATTGGTGGGAAATCCGAGGTTGCTGTGCTATTCGGGTGAGCACTGAGATAACCAGAGTCGGTTAACAGGAGAGTGTTTTCGTGAGAATGCGCAAATGAATTCGGCATCTGTTGCTCACTCCAGCCGCGTTTCCGGACACAAAAAGTTGCACTGGTAATGTGACTGGCTGTATCCATTTGTCGGTTTCGAATTGATGAAAACAGCTTTTGATCACAAATGCCGACTTCGCTAAAGTCACAGGAATCCTGGAAAGTTTGTTGACTGTGCCATCATCTTATCGGTTTTCTTCGCACCCAGTTGTGACGATGGTGGCATAGGGTCGCGTGTTTGTGCGTTCAGGCACGGACGCACGCGGCACGGCTGCACTGGACGAATAATATGCACCTCAGTGCTCACGGTCCTCTGATTGGTCAGGTCCATCCATCTGCATGGAAGCACAGAGACACAAAACACGTTTGTTTTGTTCGGTCTGTCAGGTTGATGTTATCTTCCCTGCCCACCGCCTGGTTGGTTCTGCTGAATGCAGAGGGGATTTTTTAGCCCAGTGACTACGAAAAACGATGATTTACACCAGGAGTGCGCACATACGCACGCGCGAAGTCGCCCTGAGCCAGAGAATAGAGCAAATGCATGTGCATTTGCCGGATTCGAGGCAACGCCGGAAACATTGAACAGAAAGTAATTTAAGAAAGGTCCTTCTTATGAGCGGCTAGCGAATCTCGGTGGGTAAAGTACTGCTCAGCCACAATGCCATTCGTTGCAAAGCTACAGTGTGAAATTCAAGTCCTTTAGGTGATAGTTCCATGTAGAGATCTACCTTCAGTTTTAACGGATCGTCGAATTAGAAAAAACTGTACACAAAAGGAAATGGGATATCAGCAAGAAACACATTTGCAAACAAATCTGGTTTTTCGAGAGACTCATCTGGAATCCAGCTGAATCTCTCGTCTGTGATGTCTCGAGGCAACTGAATGTGCTGCACCTGGTCGCCTAATGTTTCAGTTGCTACGATATTCGGGATATCACGATACATATATATGCGTACTGCGCTACTCATGAGGTTGCTGAAAATCCTTCGACAGCACAAAACCTAGTGAGCTGACCAAGTTGATTTTGATACCGACCTTACAATTCTATGAAATTGTATGAAGGAAGTGCGACACTGTTGTAGCACACAGCATTCCTGCCTAATGATACCACCCTCACAGAAAGCGTAGATTTAAATCTGACTACCAGAGACCGCTGCGAAAGAAGAGGCCAAAACCTCTCCTCGGGAAGGCCCTACTTGTGACCTTTGTTGACTGGGACTACTGTTGTTGGTCATTCCGAGGTTTGTCTATTTTTCTAGAGGTTTTTTGAATGTTTAAAAATATATTGGCGAATCCATGCCCTCTTCAACCCTTTTAATATAAGTTGAGGACATCCCATAGAAGTATAAGAGTGGCACAACAGTACCTTCATTCAAATAGACAGGAAGCCTAAAAAGGCAAAACAGTTACAGTGCACTCAGTCTGCGATGTGGTGTTGGCGAACTTTTCGTATGCTGACGAAATGGCTGAACGCGAAAATCTTGAGCGAAATCGTTCCTGAGGAGTGGTGTGCATTCCTGAGTTGAGGATTTATCATTCATTTTCAGTGAGACATATACGAAAGAAGTGAGTAAACACATCCAACGCTGCATATCCTACTCGTCGACTTCACAAAGGCCCGGATAAACAATGTAGATCGTTTCTCAGAAGATGGGCTGTCCAAAGAATTCTGCCAACATTGTCCATTTTTTCAATCCAGAAAAGAGGGTTCGAGCTGGTAGAACTGCGTCTGATGAGTGGAAAGCTGTCACGGTACCAAACGGGGGCTAATTTCTGTCACCAACTTTATTCAGCTTATGTGTCCGCTATGCTTGAAAGTGCCCTTTAAGTCCTTAGATCTATTCACTAGCTGTTCAGAGTGCTGTGGGTAGCTCGCCTTCATATACTAATGAATGCCATGAGACTAGTACGCCGCAGTTCGCTAACATGTATTCTCTATTTGAATTTTCTGTAGCATCTAGTGAAAACATTTGCATCCGCAGCATCTCTTTGTTTTAAATAGTAGATATTCCCTGAATTCTGACTTTCTAACAACATGTTCCTCGGGTTATTAAAATGTGCCGAACGCAAAACCGAATGGCAGTGAGATGATCTGTTGTTCACATTTCTGCAGCGTTCTAGACTGCGACCAATTAATCGACAGGTAGTTGCCGTTACGAATGCGGAACGGTAGTAACGCACGCAGAAGATCACAAAACGTGTCCTCAACGCTCACCATCAGCGAATGGACACAAAAATTCGGCACCTACCGTGCAGTCGTATTGTCCACATCTTCAAATATGTGCGAGTTACGATCAATGCACAGGGTTTTTTTGCTGAAATCGCCGACCAGTTTCGCCTGGAATGTCTTTGGAGGCTTGTGAGCATACGGTGATCAGAGTAGATCCAAAATACTCAATTTCTTTGAAGGCCACAAATGTGCGAAATCACAATCAGCTGGGCTATTCAGGCTATGTAAACCGCACGCAACGGATTATAGTTTGTTGCAAGGGTGAGGAGGACAGAAAATAGTATGCAAGGATAGTTTTAAGTTTAACTTATTAGCAGAAGTTTCCATCTTAGTCCATGGAAAATTCTCGCGCTGGACAGAGATAATTGGTGGAACGCCATACTAAACATTTACGTGCTGTGCATTTGCAGGGTCACTGAGCCTCGGATTTCAAACATGAACTGTCCGTCTACAATATCGAACTGTAGACACATCTGCATGAGCATAATCGGATGTACAGGACATCATCGTTGCCACTTTGAATCGATGTCGAATCCCCTACTGCAATTCACCGCCTACTTAGAGAGGACAAAACGGTCCTTTCTGGGAGGACAAGGGTATGCAGCATCGTACTGAAATCGTTCGAAATTATTTTGGAACTCAAGGGGAATTACAGACTATACCAGTACTTGATTGTTCTATATAGTACAGTCATTCTTAGGATGTCTAACGGACCTCAACAGGCTTGTTTCTTCTTGAGAGCCTAATCCTTCGGAATTTTGTCGGATTCACAACCACATCCGGCTTTGAAACAGCCCCTTGTGTTATGACAACTTTGTGCAAGCGTCCAGTGGAAAAACCACTGTTGGTACTAATCGGCTCAGTAGTTTTTTCACTATGACATAATCGTGTGTCTATTCACCCGATTTCAAACTTCATCATTGCTTCATCTATCTCTCGAGCAGAAAAACCGATAATAACGCTGCACAACTGCAGTGTAAACGCAGTTATTCCCTGTCATGGTAGCTGAAAAGGGATTTCAGTGAAAACGCGGCATTGTTGGTAACCTAGATCGCAAAAACATGGTCATGGAAGACATACTGCACGAAGCAATGAATGAATGAATATCTGAACCAGTGGCTGTAGCAGAAACAGTCTTAAGGCCAAAGAAGTGTGCTTACATGGCATCGGATAATGAAACTAGTAATTGAAATGCTTCCATTTGTCTCGTTTTGCAATTTGTAAAAAGCACTGGTTATCACTGATGTAAGGGCTTATTATCTGCCTCAGAGTGAAAATCGTGTACCCCTGTGTATTCTTTCGCCAGGAGCGTTTCATCGATCGGAGGCCCCACACGTCTACGCTACTGAATTAGTCAAGCGTCTGCACCATATCCTAGAAATCTTCAAACAAGATCATCCTGTGAAATTTCTATGGCGTAGATCTTTTTCTGAAACATTTGATGACAATGCCTTTACAACAACTCTTTGGACTGAAAGGGTAGATACGCTTTACCACCTGGAATTTCTTTCAGAGCACACGAAAATTGGTTCGTGTACGCTGAGCCTGTGTACCTAGATAGTAAACTAAACTTCAAGACGATTTATGAGACTTGATATACCTTGAACGCTGATGTGAAATCGATGTCATCGAAAGCACTGTGTCGGCTTACAGCGTTGATTCCGGATAGTTCAAATCGGTTTCTGATAAGTGGTCACAATAAGACAAGGAATACGTATTCTGTTTTAGTTGGTCAGGTGGTTGTTAATCTGCCAGCCGGCTTGCCAAGGTCTCGTCACTGTTCGAGGAGACATCGTCACTGCGCGATTGGGTGTGCGTTATCCTACAAGTATGGTAGTATTCGTGGTGAATTCAAACCGGAACAAAGTTCCTCAGGGTCGCACACCTTTTGGAGTTAGTATCAGTTTAGACGATGCAGTTCCCCTGAACTGTATTACTAGGTTCACAGACTGCTAGGCTGAGAGAATAGCATGAACGGATCAGACAAAAAATCTATCTTTTCTTCCATCAGATGGAGCACCTTAAAAGTTCCACTTCGGCAATTCTTGTCATTTGTGGGCATAAACACTAGAAATTTCGAGTCCTGGAAAGTATGCTGAAAAAGAAAACAGGATTTAACCCGTGGTCCACTAGTTCGAGTCTGGTTTCCGACCAAATAACTTATCTTGGTATTTTCCAGTATCAGTTTTCGAAAGGAATATGTACCTTCAAATACAGACTCATCATTTTCGATTCCGGAACTACTGAGATTATGATTGAAAAAAACTGCCTGAATGCGAATAGGATAAATTTCCAGCAGCCCCTAGAGTTAAGACAGTGAGATCTATGATCTGTTAGACGAAAACACTAAGACTGGTTTGCAGGCAAGTGCAGAATATGCAATTTTTACCAGTGGATACATTGTATGGGATTTTTCCATTGCAATCAACCAGATGAGGGAACCGGTAATAAGAGAAAATGTCAAAAGGATGATCCCCTTCCGCCTCGGGTTAGGTTTTACAGTCAACATGTACGCAGAACCGAATGATTTTTATCTCTACAGCTAAGCCACGAAGATTACATATCCTTCCTAACTTACTCATCGTCACCCATTTCTAAGTACGGTAGTAGTTTGGCACATGCTGTGCGCTAGCACTATAGGTAGAGATAAGTATCAATAAAAACACAATGATTTAATAATTATTGACGTTCCGGTGGATGATAGTGTGGACTTATGTTGGGACTATCTAGATTCAGATTCCTCATTAAACCACTTGTATTTGTCGGCCATTCTCCATTTTGAAACGTCATGTGCTTCTTTGCTCATTGAAAATGTAAAAGCTATTAGACGTAATTCACTACTCATAGCCCACGACCGGTTTCGCCCTTTTTGAGGCTGCTCAGGCAGACGCAGTCACCAAGTCTTGCTCAATTTTATGTTCTACATGAACCCGAATTGCAAGAAATTCGACCTATACACTTATCTGCTAACCACTTTTGTAAGCACCTAGAACCCAGCTGAATCTCAGCAAGAAAAGAAGGTTTCTAACGCATACAAGCCCATTGCACTTATGGAGCATTAAATTTTATCGAACTTAAACCCTGATTGCTGTCCGAATAACGCAAACGAAAATATCCATAGGTCATCAGATATTTTTGGCAGAATGAATAGGTTATAGAATGTTTGGTTTAGTTGTTCATCTCAAAAGGAAACGCCCACGAAGATGACAGTGTGGGGGGTTACGAACTCAATACGTAGGACGCACAGCTTTATTGCCATAGCCTTGACCGTCATTATTCAGCATGTTTTGCTAAACAAGCTGCGGTACTACAGATGGAATGGAAAAGGATCAACTGATCACCGGAAATCCCGATTACGTTCATGCTGGACGAAAACTCCTGGTCTTCGTCTACAGACCTCCATCAGGTTCTAAGGAATCCACAAATAGGTGCTGTCTGTTTTGAACACTGAATTTTACTTACCCAGCACCGAATCTCCAAAACCGACCGGAATACTTGAGCGTATGAATTTCACTTTTACAAAATCAAATTTGTCACGTTAATGAACGAAAAACTAACCATAGATTGGTATTTTCAATTCATGCCGTTCAACATGTATTCGCTTTTGGTAGTTCCGCGCACGCCAGTCGCCACAAGACGAGGTCATATTAGCCTGACAGGTAATGAGTTTAGCACAGCAACCATGCCAACGATGTCAGTCCCTATCCTGAAAGTGCCGTTGTGCACGCACGCATGTCCGCCATTGTCTGTCAGGCAATCGCTTGGGTGGGGTGAGGGTGGCGGTCCAGAACGTCGTTTTTCTCATGTCGACGCGAGTGCAAGTATATTACGATCTTGCCAACCTTGTCTTGGCCTGTACAAGGGCTTTCGTTTCAGATTAGTGTACGCCCCCTGTCCCAGTCAGAAACACAAAGCAATCAATTTTTCAGACTTGTGCACCCCGATGGGTGCATCAGCTCCAGCGTTCTGGTGGTGCACGCTTGTGGTGACTGTGCCTTTGTTTATGCGCTTCGTCGACCACAGTGTTGCCATGTCGAGAGCTGTCTACGGAAAGGGCTGATGAACCAAATACACAGCTTGGTAACCACACGCTTGAGTGCCACACCTACAGAATGTCGGACAGTCAGTTGTCATGTCTGTGTGCACAAACCTCATGCGAATCGCCTGGGTGAGTGAAAAGCCGGTGAATATCGTCCTTCTGGGGTGCGGAGATCCTGTTTTTCACTGGTTCTAATTATTTTCAGAGCGTCCTTAGTTGCTTCAGGCTTACCAGTAAATAACACGCAAGTAAAATCACCACCATTTTCCAGTGTGAATTGAAGAATGATCAAGTGTTCCGTTGAATATCTTGGAGGTATTTTCGCTGCTTATACTACGTGCCTATAGGGTTGTAGATGGAAAGAAGTAGTGGCAATGACAATAGGACTATGGACCTATAGATCTTAGGGACTAAGGAGGGCGGGAAAACATGCAGAGGTTTGGTGAAAGCCTGCAGCCGGCAAACGAATGAAGTCACTGCAGTGGGCACCGGAAGCAGATTTTGTCGTGAAACTCTAGCATCTTCCACCGAATTCATTACATATAGCATATCACTTCAGCCACACATTATCACTTAATCATGCCTATCAGGGGATGTTGGAGGAAGGCTGTCGACCATCTTGTAAGCAAGTTTTAACTCGTTTATCAGACCGATCTCACAATCGAAGAGTCTGGAAGAGTATTATCGTGAGGTCCCAGGATTACTTAGTAACGGTCAGAAAGACCGACATATGCTACAGAGACGGCAGTCTCAAACCGTTGTTCCTGTTTTCACCACCCAGTTAAAGCCACTCACAGATCCATACTGACGCACCAATTTATCAGCTGTTGCCTTCAATGCACAGCTACTTACCCTCACCCCCAAATTATCAGTGGACGAAACTGTGACAGCTACAACCACTGTCCGACAAATTCGCGGTTCTTACAGCTGATAATGAGAACGGAGTACGGAAAACATGGATGTATCACTCCAGCTGTAGCTGTCCTAGACGTTCCTGCAGGCATAATTCTGAAAGGATTGAATAACTCTCAAAAGCCACGTCTTTGATCTTCACCTATTCCTTAATAATTGCTCTCCTTACAGACAAACCACCGGTAAGGTTTTTATTAATCTAAAGGCAACGTTTTACCCAGTCAATCGATTGGATAACAAGGGCATTACCGAAATCATCATTTCAATTCTCTGCCTACCACACTCCAACACTTAAAACCTTGGAAGGTCCACAAGCAACTGACTTCTTGGACCAACAGAGGTGTCCCCTGGCGCCCCATTGGTTTCCAGTGCAATCTTCCACTATGGTTGCATTTGAAACGCGCGTTTTTCGGATATTTAGTGAGTGTAAGCTAAACATAGCCTTCCCATTCAACCTGGGACATCAAATGCAACATACCACGAAGGTTGCACTAGGTGGAGTGTCAGTAGCTAGCTTTTCAACTGGTGGGATAGCATTTCTGTTTTCCCCCTGAGTTGGCGTACCTCTGAAAAATGCTTCTTGTGGGCTACACAGTGCCATGTGAAGCTAAATCAAACTCGGATTCCACACCACCACAGTCACTGAGCGATGGCTAGTCCCGTCTTGAAGAATATAATGTGATGTCACATAGTAATGGTAACTGATTGTTCTTGAGATCTACGCATGGATGACTAAAGCAGTCCTAAATCTAGTACAGACCATTCATCCGTCACCTAGCACGATCAGTGGATCTCACCCCTCTCAGCTGTTCGTAGAAGTCACATTTTGGCGAACTCAGTCCTCCATTTACAGTATTTCGAACTTCGACTGCATAGCTTCGACCAGCATTCCCAATCCGACAGATTTCCAACCTCAGGACACGCCCTTAGCTCACACCATCCCTATACTCTCTATCACGAACAAGCAAAATGGACGGATGCAACACTCGACGTAGTCGGTGCAACCCAAACACTGGAACTATGGGACTGGGTAGCTGTACAGCCGTTTGTGGAATTACTTATGACAAACTGAACACCGAAATTAGAAAACCCTTTTGCAATTCCTCCATATGAGACCCGCCTGTCAGCGAAAGGAACAGCGCACGGTGCCGCAGCTTAACCTGTCTACTTCACAGATTCAAAACCTGCCCTCTCCGCAGGAGACAGAAAACTATTGCTTGCCTTTGATTACTAGTTTTTGCGCAACACTGCCCACGTGTGACGGAGGTAGTTTGATCCTTACGGTGGAAAAAAGTCGTCCAGTATTTCACAATTCGTCTGATTTACGCTTGATTGAGGAATCGCCAAGCCGGTCACGCTGTTCCTGCCGTGTGCTGCGTACTTTTGTGGGCCATTTACTGAGGCGGACCTCATCTACCACAAAACGATCTGGTGTGAATTAACAAGGGCGCCCACACGTTGAAGTACACTGTCTTCCATGGTGGGGAGCTAGACACATCCAAAAAGAGGGTGAGGACCCTGGGCTACTCAGCTGAATAACAAAACCAGTGACACTCAGGAATTTAACCAACCAACCCTACTGGTCCTCAGTAATTTACTATCATCCCTTACTCTTCAACTTCACCAAAAACTGCGACAGCTTCAACTCTCATCCTGAGTGACTCGGTTCACTGTTTGAAAATTAAACTGAGCAGATCAGCATTTCAGCCGTTATTTTCACTGGTCATTTCAGACAGCCTGTTGATTGACAAAATAAAAAACTAATTCGAAACGAATTGCAACTTGTCCAAAACGACCTTCCATTTACCTTGCCGCTGTGCTGATACCTAAAGTTTATTTTTCTTGGAAGTAGCTTTTAAGCTGAACAGAGCGTTCATTTTATAATCTAAGCCAAACATAGAAGAGGTCATCTTCCTCTGTCAAACGCGCACACCCACCGCTTTATGATCATTTCCAACCTGACTCAGATCTACGTATGGGGTACAGGATCTTATGAAGAATATCAAGCGCTGGTTTCCCCTAGTTACGAAGCGCTCCAAAATCGCCGGACAATATGAATGCACCGTTTCTAGGATGTTTGACCTATTCTGTCCCCATTTCCACTACTATCTTTGACCTAATTTCGGCGATTTCTAAATTCCTTTCCTTACAGAGTGTACTTGTTGGCGATAATCAAGGTACGGTACACGTGTATGGCATGGAAGATTTCCCAGAGACTCCAACAAACACTTTATCTCAGGTATGTTGCAGTTTTACATAGTGATTTAATAATCGGATATGAAAGGGTAGTTGGTCGCACGTAGGTAAGTATAGCGCAAAGTGTATCACTGTTTAACGAGAAAAGCCATAAGATAAATGTGATGAACTGTTAAAATTTCACTAACTTTTACCAGCCGTCAGTGGGATACACGTACATTTATGGCGAGATTACACAGTAGGTACGTAAACGAAAACGTGCAGTAACCATACTGTCTGCCTGTTGGATGTGAATGACGCGTTGCCATTCCGTTACCCGTGCATTTCACAGGGCTTGTTAGATAGGCTAAGGGGCTCAAACTTCCAGTCAAGTCATACCCGTGAGTAAGCTATCGATCCGGAAAGCCCCTCGTCCAGAAATATGTTGCAATACATGTGCCAAGTCGTACACATGGTTATGGTGTAAATGTTTATGTAAGTACATCCCCTGTAGCTTTCCTCGCCCTTTCATATAAAATTCCAGTCAGACGGAGACAATGACCTGGCATACATCACAAATGGGACGGTCATAAAAGACGGTTTCAATCAAAGGTGGCCATTGTTTGCACTGAGAACACGGGAAAACATACACATACTGTGTTAAAATCAATTCAAAAGTTGTGGCGGTCATGTGACAGCCTTAGTGTCTGTTTGACTGATTGATTGATTGGTTGATTGATTGATTGATTGTGCCATGGTGAATTCGGCCATTGCTTAGGTTGTTTAGTGTTCTTGAAGGCTGTGAACAGAATTGGTCCGAATTATTTTTTTTTACTGAGTCACACGAGTCTAATGCATGTAGCACTAGAAGCGAACATGGGTAACCTCGAGTTTTCACCGAACGACCTGTGGGAAATAAGGAAAGAGACCTCTTCACCTAACCGAACCTTGTTGAGTGGGCCTGTTACTGGTTCACGGTATAAGTGCGTCACACTTTGCTACCGCAAAAGATTCTGGGTTGCCTCACGAATGTGCAATACTTTCATTATGATAATCAGTTCACCCAGTATGACACAACGTTTGCAGTTATTTCTTTGTGTGAAGGTGGCGCAGGAAAAGTGGGGGAACAAGGTGACTGTTTAATGACCCACACAGAGATGTCTGAGTACGACGCACAGGAATCAGATGCAATCTATCAACAGAGGATGATACTACGAATAATAACGATAGGTATTATTACTATACTAGTGACTCTGCACCAATAGTGAAGTCCTTATAAGTTACCAATGTCTTAAGCTTACGGGACTAACCCCACATAAAGGCCGAGTGAAGTTTGGCTAGGAAATTTATGAGCAGACATTGTCAGAATAGCTAAGTTATCCTTTTTAGGTTTCTGGCCATTCGCATAAATGACCACATTGACTTCATTCACGCACCTGTCGTCCGGTGTTACTTACCTCCCACATGTGTCTACCATGATAGTTTGTCGATTGTTGGAAAGATTTGGTAAAAATTGAAAGAATATTTTCTCCTTGGCGGATGTACACTAGCATATAACTGGCCTGAGGTTCTCGGGGTGATTCATTATACTAATTGTACACTTTTCTCTAAAGAAATACTTTCGTTCTTTCTCCAAAGAGCACTTACTGTTACTAGCTTTATCCTTTCCGCTAGCTCATCCTGTCGTCTGGACACACTGATTGGAACGCCATCCGTTTATCAGCCTCGTAACACAGCTTTGGCAGTCAGTCGAACATACCAGCTTCCACAGTGCGCAGTGCCTACTAAAAAACACCAATTTATCTACATTACAGATCAATATTCAGAGGGTAGGACTTTCACCTAGTCTGGACCAACTTTGCTGCCTGCCGGGCCATGCAAAAGAACAATGTCGGGCGTTTGTTCACATTCATCAGTCGAAATGTCAGTTGGACTTGTGGGCTGGTTTACATATTAGTGCTAAGTAAATGCCAATGGGGCACACATGTTGATTCCCTCCAACAGTCGGTTGTTAAGACTAAACACAAAGAACGAGTTTTCCAGATTCGTGTTACAGAGCTTTGAAAACCGGTAACGATTAGATAGATGGTTGAAACCACATGTAACTGAAATTAACATCATACTAAAGAACTAGTCTTCACAGGGATTTTAGGTTCATCATTTCAGCCTAAATGTATCGTAAAAGCGTCGGTCATTCGGAGTAAGTAAACAATGATTCAGTGTTCAGGATGGTGTAGAAAGTTCCAGGTACTGAGACAGGCCACGCTTCCTAATCCGTCCATAGACCCTGATTCGGACTACTGGTAATGTATCGAATCACCCAACATACATGCCAATGGACTCTTATCAGTTAGTGATGACTGTTAAACTCAGCGAACGCACCAACAACCAACGGATTACTGGAAATAATTGCATATCTGTCGCCCTATTCTTGCTACGACAAGTCAGCTAAGATTACTTTTCTGCGTTAGTGCGCAGGAAGTTTTCATAAGCTGTTCCTAGAAAACTATCTCGATGATCCGAAAGGAAGCGTAGAATCTTCAGAAAGAACTTTAAAGATGAAGGGTGTGAAGTGACGAGTATAAAAACGGGTGGATATGCCAGGAACAGCTCAGAGGCATATTGTTCGGGTCCGGAGTTTCCATGTGCTTAAGTCTGACTGCAATTGTGAGCAGAATTCAACTAGTTCAAATAATCAGTCAAAAAACGAAATACAACAATATAAAGGCCCGAAAGCAATTCAAAAGTCTGCATTAGGACTCAGAGTGAGACAGAAGATAATCATACGAACCATTGTGATGCATCGTGCTGTACACGTTTTTGCCACTGTGCTTGTACGCTGTTAAGAGACCCAACGCATGACTGTGAACCGAACGCACACATTGCGGCACGGTATTTGGTTGTCTTGAGAAACGCATGTGGAACGAGCATCAGTCGTTGATATCAACCAAGTCTTCAGTGCAGCGGGCTGTTGAACTGTCTTCATATATGTGAAAGATGGGCAGTGATCGAAATTTTCGGGTGTGTCCGATTGAGCTATCATGTTCAGACACAATACTTCAAGTAAAATGGAGTCGCAAGTCCTTAAGACCGAGGTTCTTCGATTGTATACTGATGCAAAATACGTTCCCGTCTTCAGGATGCTCGAGACGAATGACTGAAGCTCGCCTACTAAAACAACTCGAATTCAAGAGCATCCGAAATTCTGCCACTCGGACAGACTTCGGCTAAGTTTGGAAAATGATAACTTTCAATTTCGGTGGGAAGACCGCGCATTTGACGGACAGGCCCACAGAAAGATCATTTATTCAGCCGAGGGGTGACTTTAGGATATGATATGCTGCGAAAAGACTGAAAGAGTCGAAGGGGGCTCAACCTTCCACGTACGACCACAATGTGCGAGCGTATAATTATTGGCAGGGTCGACATTGTAGGCCACTAATGAACCCATATGGCCCTACCTGTATGTAGGTTCGTTGCAATTCCTAAACATTACCTTGCCGATGTTGTATTGAATTAATTACAACAATGTCATCGATAACACAGTCAATACAGTACCGCCAGGTCGTCATTGATAAGCATAATGAAAATGCTCTAATGGCAGTCCCTGGGGCGAATTTACAGGGCACTACTATGGGGGATAGGTGGTACTGCACTAAACATAAAGGAACTGGCGGATGACGTCCGTAGCTCGACGAAAAAGAAACCAGTACCTGTACTCAATTTTGTGTCATCATCTTCAGGCTGGCTGGGGGCTTCTGACAGGTTGCTGTACGTCCGACCTCCGTTTTTATTCCCTTGAGTCTACGCCAGCTTGCACGCAACAGCGCAGCCGGCTCTACACAGACCATTCGTGGCTATCCAACTATGTGCGGACGCTGTGATTTAAACAAATAAATTGGGTACCAGCGAAAGATAAGCACACCTATATTTTCATGTTGATGATGAAATACACCAGTCTGCAAATTACTTGTGTTAACGGGAGACTCAGCTGAGTCTCTTGTTCGTGGAATTCTATAACTGAATGTGCTGCACAAAGGCCGCCTCATGTGTCAGTTGGTACGACATTCAAGATATCGAGTTACGGTCAAACATGGCCAGCCACGTAGCTGTATTAAACTACATTGCGAGTTGCCGCCGCTGCAGACAGAGGATCTGACATCTTTAGGTCTTTACCGCTGGTATCTCAGAGCCCCGGCTGAAAAGGGCGAGCTCGAAACGACGAGGAGAAGGATGTTTGGTGAAATATACGGTGCTTCACCCATGGAGCGCATCCAGCACTGCAAGTCAAGGTGACTGGGCAGTAGGATGCGCACACCGAGCTATCGTCTGCTGAGAACAACGTTCTTTGAAGTGACCAACTTGGGCTGGTGGAATCCTAGAGGTGGATAGAATATAGAATGGCAGGTGGGAATGAAGGACGTCGCCTTCAAACATGGGATCCATGTTTCCCCCTTCTGTTTGGCTTGGGACATCGAACGATATGGCGGCTGACCGATGTGAGTGGCGCTCATGTTGTCGGTTTCTATCTAGGTCTTTTGACTGGCTGTTGGAGATGTAGGAACCTTGTGTATTTGTGGCAGGTTTGACCCAGGCATCCTATCTCCCATTTTCCGTCGTAGAACCTTTTCAAATAAATTGACATATTTGTGGGACAGTGAAGCACAGGCACTCTTCTTTGATGTCGTTGTTGACGACTGCATCGTGGTATAATTTTGTGAAATTTATACTACCAATCCGGTTGTTGTGAACTTTGATAGGTAACTACCGGTTTCGCCCTTCTTAAGGCCCATCAGATAGCCGTAGTCGCCGAGTTTCCGTTATCCTGATGCTTCCGTCAAACATAACATGGTACGCCGGCGGTAAAATGCACACATTTGCAAATTACTCTGGCGCTAACGAGATACTCAGCTACACATTCAACTGATAATATCATGAATAAAATTGAATTTAGTCTTCTGTTCACACCAACTTATCTTACAAATGAGTGTCTCGCACTACTTGCGTATGGTTTATCATTCACTACCAATCCGGTTTGTTGTGAACTTGATAGGTAACTACCGGTTTCGCCCTTCTTAAGGCCCATCAGATAGCCGTAGTCGCCGAGTTTCCGTTATCCTGATGCTTCCGTCAAACATAACATGGTACGCCGGCGGTAAAATGCACACATTTGCAAATTACTCTGGCGCTAACGAGATACTCAGCTACACATTCAACTGATAATATCATGAATAAAATTGAATTTAGTCTTCTGTTCACACCAACTTATCTTACAAATGAGTGTCTCGCACTACTTGCGTATGGTTTATCATTCGAAGGAAACCCGGGGAATACGGCTACCAGTTGAACCTCAGTAAAAGCAAAACCGGTAGTGACCTGTCAGCCTTTAGTAATCCTATGAGCAGTGCGCCAAAGAAAGGTACGTTGACGCAATATGCCGCCAATGTAACTTGTTGGTAAAGCTGAACCCGGCGCTAGCCGACATCACAACAATGTTGGTGGCATCGACCTTTTCTCATTACATTTGGCCGGCACATAAATCGTATTACCATAGATTTCCCTTCGAAAGAGTGGTTTCCTCTGGCTAAAGGCAGTGAATATAGTGGGTAGAATTCCTAGAAAATGCATCGACAGCCTGCTGGTCATCTTGGAGCCCCACAAAGAAAATCACTTGCTAGGTCGTCACCGATCAGCCATTGAAGAAACCGGGGCACAAAGTTCGACACTTTATCACTTCAGCTTGGCATTCTTTTCCGGACACGGTATCCACCCTGTCTTTACCCAATCAATATTGTGTGATAACACAAAAACAGGCGCGACCTACTGCTGTCATGTATCATGTGAGTCCCATAAATCTTTGCACCAGTGCCCCGAAACGATAGACAAACAGACACACGCACACACACACACACACTATCGAATGAATAGGAGAGGAAATTCAAAAGACAACAGATCCCTCAAGTCAGTTGAAAGTTTCTTTAGTGGGTTCCTTGCTAGTACAGTGTGCTGGAGCGTGTCCAAAAGCATGGTCGCCCCACGAATGACTAAGAACGGCGGATGTTTATGGATGTCGATCCAAGAAGTTGGCAATTTTTCTAGTCTGAATTTGGTTTAACCGCGTAAGTGGAAACAAGCTACCATTCACGCGCTTTATCTTGTCAGCAAAACTTGGTTTTCTTCCCTCGAATGTCCGAGTATTGTAGCTGGCGAAATGGTGATCGAAAAATAGTGTTTGGTTGCGCAACAAATAAATAAATTCTGAAAACATACGCGACTACAAACCACGGGGGTGGTCGTCAACAGTTTCTATTCCGATTGTCTAAGCGACTGATGGAAAGTAAAGGCACCCCAGAATTATGTGTTAGGTTGGCATCAGATCCCCCTAGTCTTCCGTCCCCTTCTGTATCACTGGGTTGCTTCAAAATTAAGTCGCATGGTTGTACAGGCATCAGTGTTCTCATGCTGATGTTGTTATTGAGATTGGTCATGATGTCGGTTGCTCGTTCATATGCTCCACGGGTCAATTCATCGCGTGTCAAGCTATTTCCATCGTACTGGCGTAAACCGAGATGTGGGTAGATGGGTGCTTATGGTGAGGCTCTCCTTCCAGATTGAGGGCCTGGTGGCGTACACTGCACTTAGCTGGAGACTCGGTAATACAAAGCCGCCAACCAATTTTAATTGTTCCCTAGCTGTAAGTCCTCAACAAAGTTGTTGGAACCCGGGTTCGGATGTATGGTCTTACCAGAATGTTTCAACTAAGTCACACTTAGGTCCCCCGTCTATCTGTCGTTTCATTCTATGTTTTTTTAAGTAAAGTATCTATCGTTTATGGCAGCAAAGTATCGGTGTCAAACCTGTCGATTATGTTGCTGAAAAACTTAATATTTGATAAGTCACCGGCAAATCCTATAAAATACCCGACAAACACATAGAAGAATCATACAATTCTTCCATATTTACCAAAAAAAGAGGCTAATTTTTAGCATCGAAGTCTTGGTAAGTAATAATAAACCGGTCGCCAAATATACGGGTGGGTCATCAACCACTGGTTTGACTGTGATAGTGAGTGTGCATTTCAAAAACAAGTCCAACGCAACAGTGCAGTTTAAATACAGCATTCTAGTGACATCGAGCTAAGTGTAGCAATTTACTCCTGACTCATATAGTAGCCACTGATAAGAAAGTAGGGCAAATACTTCGGGTTTTACCGGCTCTGGTGGCCCCACCGGAAGAGTATGCCCGAGCAAAAGTGAAAAGATCACGTGAATCCTGTGCACATACTTGTCCCATGCGAGTTTATCTTTAGGTTTGGTATATATTCTTTCGTAGATTCTCAACAAGGGAGCAATAACAGCCCCTTCTCCACAACTTTGATACTCCTAATGCGGAAGCGTTACAACCCCATGTACAACTTAAAATAGCCTGCTTATCATTGGCGGCGGCTCAAACGCTTTATGGAACGTTAGCTTGCGGTCCCCGTTTGAACGGAATTTTCAGTGACACTGTTTATTCCAAGACTGACAACCATTTACTTGCTGTGCATATTGTTAATATTAATGAGGCTGTGATAAGACTAACCTGGTAACACCACCAGCAAACGTAAAAGCTAACATGCGTACCCCCAACCGAAGGAGCCACTGAACTGTGTGCCTATGCGTGTTTTACAGAAACACTCGAAGAAAATGGATCGCCGAAGTCTTTTAACCTAGAAATTAGCATGCTTGACGTATCAGTGACCAAACCGCTGGGATTATTTGCTTAGGGTTACGTACCAGATGTCTGGAAGCATTAGATGAAAAACCTTGTTCCAAAACTTGACGAAATGTCATCCGCAGGTTCGATCAAACCGCATTTCTCAGGTATACAAAAGGACCTTCTATAGTCCTAGTTCTTTGGTTCGTCATATCTACCAACCCGGATTAGCTCCTGGTTTGTTAAGCGAAGAAGCACCGTGTATATATGACAAGGTTGTGTGTGCAAGAAAGATCCAGCGTGACCAAATGTATCGGAAATTTAATGAATGGTCGTTGTGGTGAGACCCTCATAACGACCACCGATAAATGGACGGTCTTTTCTTCCGGAACAGGTTTGCACAAGAATAAACCGATTTCGCTGTACTTCTCAGGAGGACAGAGAAATTGACCACCTGACTAATTCAAACGAGCTACATTTTCTTGTTTTTTTTTTCAGGCTGCAACTCTTGCCGAAATTCTTCAGACATGTATAAAAGACCAGTCTTGATGGTGGTTGATCAGAAGGACGACCAAATAGCCGTTGAACTGGCTGTGTTTCTTCAAGGGCAAACAAGAATAAAGTTACTACTATTTGAACTGAGCACGCTTTATTGCGCTTTGGGGAGGGAGAAAAACTCCCAAGTGTGATGTGCTGTTTTATATCCGATGTGCTGTTTAGTCCTGAAGAAAGTGAACACCGATCCAAATATTCGAGAAATTTCAAGTGGACGTATAACCTCAAATCACTGTCACGCTTCCGGTCAAATAATTCGTTCTGCTATTGATGTGAGGAAGCAATTGTCGTAGAATTTCCATAGTATAGTGGAATTTTGGCAGAAATGCACTTCCTCTGTTAGGATACGTTGGACGGGGGAGATGTGCTTGGTACCAATACTATGCAGCACCATTTCAAAAAGCCTTGATGACAAGAGGTCATCGGGCTGCTTTAACTTGCCTCCCAGATACAAACCAGCTATCTGAACAGTGAACATCTAGCAATTCATTAGACTTGAAGCAGCGTGTACAGGGTTATCAAGAATCGACTTACAGTAGGCTTTCTGCTACTCACTGAAATCTTTTCAATAAACACCAGATCTATTGGATTACTCCAGGCTTCTAGACCCTTCCAAGAACGGTGCTTTTTCATCTAGTTGGAAATATCATGCTTACCGGCAGACAAGGCTCCGTGAAATGGAGCGCCAGAAAGTTCAGCAGTAGCGCTCAGATTCTTGAGAGATTCCTATCGATCCTACTTTTTATTCCAAGATTGTTTGGGTCCAGATGTGGGAAGCTACAAATAGTTAAGCATCCATTCTAGCACTGCCCCAAACATTGGTATCTGAAATGAAAACATCAACAGTCACATAAGATGGCTTGTTGACTGCCACGCCAAACTGAGTGCGGCGAAAAGATACTGGAATTTCCGGATTTACAAAACTCCGGTGAACTCTTCTCCTCTAAAGAGTTTAAAACAAGCGTTCCTAGTCGGTTGCGACTTGGTGTGCGATTCTCCCGAAGTAAAGCCATCCCGGGAATAGGCCGAATAATCTACCTCGCCGAGTTTACCTCTTCCGAAGGACTAATCCACATCCCCATAAAATAGGGTATCACAAAACATTCCAAGTGAGATGTTACTCGCTTGGATTAGCGTCGACACTACTGGCGACGGTCAAAATGCTAGCTCGGTAGCCCTGAAACCGACATAAGAAGTCAACCAATACAGTGCAAAATAAGTAACGTATATACAAGACAATTAAAGAAGACACTAGCCACTGATTTGTAGTCGTAGTAGCTGGGGATTTGTTCCGAGTTCTGTTTGTTTTTCCAACTGATCATATTCCTGGTACAGGTCCTCCAGAGAGTCTGCACTCGCCTTGAACAGACCCAAATCGAAGCCATCCACATTGGTGTAATGGTGTAGGTGGGCCTGAGTGACAAGTTTTGGATAGACATAATGCTTGATGATCAAGAACCATTTTAAAAATACTGCAAAGCTGGTGTTACTATAAACACCAAGTAAAACTGTATGTATCGCGGTGCAGCAGGTCAAAATACGCACGAGGTATGAACTCCTAGTGACAAGCGATAAAGTACTTACGGCCCCAAGATGATAATTAGTGACGTACAACTTCAAGATGGCAGAGTATGATGAAATTCCATTTGATCCCTATAGCTTCAGTTATCCTATTGGTACTACAGAAAAAACCTATAGAGTTTCTGTGCTGTTGAATTATTGCACTTGACTGTTTCGTGGATCCGTATACTCAACAGTATTACACTATAATGGTGACCAATTAACTTGGTCGCATTTTAGATCTCTTTCCAGAGGAAAAACTAAACAGGGCTCTCTGGAGAGGGAGGATGATGTGCCATCAGGATGAAATAGTAATCCAGACAGTACAACATATGGAGGGCCAAGAATCGTCCCATCACACATGAGCTATTCCTTTTGAAAGCGATGTGTTGAAAATCAGTTTCCTGATACAATTGATCCATCAGCATACGAGATACCTCGGAGGTTTTCATTGTCCCAGTACTTTTAAACAGCAACATGCAGTATACACTATCATGACAACCTCTAGTCTCGACAGCCTAACCCGCTTACTTTACGTTTGTATAGTTTGTAAAAGCGCTCCAGAATTTCCAGGAATCTTTCGCGAATCGATGTATTGTTGGAGAGCGTCAGCAAGCTACAGGGCAATCCAACCGGAGGGACAAGACAGTGACCAACTTTCCAGCCTTCACGGTTCCATTGAACGAATCGCAATCGTTGTTGTAATCTGGGAAGGTTAGAGCAAACGAATAAGAAAACCAACACAACCCATCGGCAATAAGTGATTCGTAAGGTGTCCAAATAACACGTCTAAGACTGAGGCAACGTACACCGTCTTGGATTTTCGGAAGGCTCTACTAAACCAGCCGGACATTCGGGAAGTGTCGGAAGGCCAATGTGAAAGAAATCAGTAGGCAAGCAGAAAATTACCAGAGCTCAGACTATCTCAGCTTAAATGTACAAACTGTCGAATTAGAACACTGCATAAGTAGTTTTCTCATCTTTTGTCGCTCTGAAATTAAACCCCATGCCAACTAATTAGACTGGTCAATCAATTCAATTCAATTTATCAGCTATGAAACATGTGCCACTGGCACGTTGGTTACAGCTGCTACCGTGGAAGTGTGAAACCAAGCCTTGGTGGCAAAGGGATGCTCATTTTGTTCGGGAATCGGGTAGCTACGCACTGAACGCGATGGCTTTGATGCATGAGCGCCAGACTGCGCGAATGTGCCACTTCCACCAATGCCAATAAGCACTGGTGATTTGAGTTCCGGGGTCCCCATCCAGAGAGGCGGAAGTTCCACACCCACCTTGGTTTACTGGTTAGTCCTTCGTATTTCGTTGCCAGCTCATACATTGTCCACTTCTCAGTCACTTCTGCTTACCACAGGACTGGGCGAAAAGAGCTCTGCGAGGCAGGCGATTTCCTGGTAAGCGGAGTACATGACCCAACCAGTGCAGCCTATGAAGCATGAGTAATTCATCCATCACGGGAGAGTTCCCTCTTCCTAAGTTCATTTGGTGTACCTCAGCATTACTAATACGATGTTTCCACCAGACCTCACCGATGTGTCGAAGACACCGATGATCAAACACTGACATCCACCGTGTGTCCTCTGCGCGTAGGCGCCACGTCTCTGATCTATAAAGCAGTATGGATCGCACCATTGCAGTGTAAACTCTTCTCTTGACAGACAAACTCACATAACGTCGGCGCCATAAGTGTCGGAGGTTGGCATAAGCTGCCCTGATCTTTCCGATTCGAGAAATAATCTCATCTCCAGCCAGTCCAATGGGACTCATACAGCTGTACAGGTAAAAAAAATTTATCTAACACGTCGATTGGGTCACCTACAATAATCAAGTGTGGTTCTGATCCCACCCAGTCTTGTAGCAGCACTTTACATTTTGCAGATGTGAAACGCATACCAAATCGTGCGGCAGAGTGATTTAGGTTATTTAAAATCGTTTGCATTTGAGAAGGATCTGAACCAAGGAGAGTAATATCGCCTGCGTACCCAATGTCTTTGAGGGAACATCCCGGGACCATTTCGACTTCGGAGGTTTCAGAGGCAGGCAGAGAAATTTCAGGCAGAATGTCAATAACACGGTTGAACGGAAAGGCTGAGGGATGATGGCCCTGTCTTACACCACTGAACGTGGTGAACTCAGGAGAAGGCTTCCCGTACACTTGAACATGCCCACAAGAGTCGACACACAGTGCACTCATGAGAAACAGAAATTCGGAGGAGACACCTTCGATTGCCAAAGTTGCTGACGATCGACAGAATCAAAAACTCCTTTCAAATTCCGAGAAGCAAACGTGGAACGGCTGAAGCAGGGGTGCTGCTCGAGAATTGGTCGTAAAAACCTTTCCCTATCGATTGGATCGACGCGTACTCGACCAGGGCGCAACCCAGCTTGATTCTCACGAGTCTGTCTCTCGCGATAATCCATCAATCTGCGCAAAACAATGCAACAGAGCATCGTAGATGAGACCGATAGCAGGCCGATACCACGATGATTTCCACATGATGTTATTGCTCCCTTTCTGAAAACTGGGATTAAGGTCCAGCAGCTCCAGTCGGCTAGTATTCTGTTTTCGTTCCCAATCTTCTACAGTATAGTGGTCAGACTGTTCACCAGGATCTCGCCACCTTCTTTGAAGAGCGCAGGGTGTAGACCATTCGGGCCACGTGCCTTGTCGCGCTTCACGATTAAAATCTCGAGCTGGATTTTGGTTGCTGATAAAGGGTTGCTGTCAATGTTCCATTCGGGCCCGCTTGCTCCTTCCAGCCTTTGTGCTGAAGGAGACCAGGTGAACTGTTCTTGGGAGTGCTCAGCCCACCGCTCAAGACGGCGGACTGAGGGGTGAATTGTTTTTCCGTATTTTCCGAATATTGTCTCACGGACACCTGCTTTCTTCTGATCCGTTGATCGGATCAGTTGAAAACGAGCGCGGCTGTTGTCTGGAACAAAAGCATTCTCCATCTCCTGGACCTTCGAAATCCAACAGCGTTCTGTCATTCTTCAAGCTACTGATTATCCGGTGTTTGATGGATCTGTGCGCGATGGTATGGCTTTTCTGGCAACAATAAGATCTGCTGATCTCGAAGTTATCTAGTGTTCAGTGAGTCCAGTCAGATGGGCTGGACAAACAGTTCTGAAGGCTGACAGCATTGCTTCTTTGACTCACCCCCACTCATAATTCAAGCAATCTTCGTCGTCCACATGACTGTGCGTTTCCAGTAGCTTTCTAGCCAGATCAGCTCGATACTCTTCAGCTACTGAAACTTGTCGAAGTTGATGAACGGAGCCGCTCTATTTCGGCACGCGTAGTGCTAAGCGGGCCCGCACGATCGCGTGATCAGAGTCCAGTTGCGCGTCCCAGAAGGAACGACAATCCACAACTGGGGCTCGCCATCGGTAACTAATAGTCATATGGCCCAATGGAGTCCACAACCTTTTTTGGTAGATGGCCTCCAAGTAATTTGGTGTGTGCGTTTGTGTTGGAAGTTCGTACTGGCCATAAATGGACGATGATCTGCACACAATTGAAGAAGCCGCTCTCCGTTATCCGTACGCGCAGCATCGACTCCAAATCGACCACCTAACTGTGATTCTTCCGGACTTAGTCATCCAAACTGGACAATCGTATCACCCGCCATGATTACTATATCCGTCCTTCTTGCCGACCGAAGCAGCTGTGACAGATCTTCAAAAAACTCGTCCTTCTCAGTCTCAGAACCGCTATCTGTTGGGGCGTATCCTGATACGACAAACAAACACCGCTTACCACATCAAACTGCATTAGTCTTAATTGAGCCGGACATCCGCACAGCGCATAGGCGACTGGGATTCAGTTCAGTAAGGCGCTTTCAGTCTTGGGACTGAGTGAAACTCCCACTCCGGAGATACCACGGGCCGTTGCGTCAGGATCACCGAATGCCCGAAAGTGAAATGTGGAACATCTGTACTCGTCCTAAGCAGTTTGAGGAGCACGATCGAAGTGGAGGCTTGTATGTGTGTTTCGGAGACAACATAAATTGATAGAGAGGGAAACTGAGGTTTCAGCAAGAGATGCCTGTTGCCCAACCTGTCATAGAGTACGGACATTGAAGGCTGCAACATGGATCGGATCTTTTGGGGTTAGTAGGTGATTATTTCGGTTTATTTCCCTTAGCGATTGTTGAGACATGGAACAGTGAATAGGAGGTTGGCAGATGGGTTCATTGCACTACATTGTACGATGGGTTAGGAAAGAATGAGGGAGAAGGCCGGTGAGCGAAGAGCTGCAAGGGCCAATGATACTTTCCAGTTGCCCAGATCGAAGAAGGAGGTTATGTTGAGGTACCCCACTTTGAGCCTTTGAATCGAAAGTCTGACCCGCAAAACAATGGGGGGTGTAGTGTTTTGCTCAGGGACCCTGCCCATAGCCTCTGACTCAAGATTCTGAACCACGAGACAGCAGTTTTTAGGGTTTTCTTGGAAACCCTTCCCGGAGCCAATAACTGGATAGTGCAACCCACTTTGGTGTGGGGGGCCGGCCTTACCCGACGGCACAGGGAGTGTAGTGTAGCTGCGCACAGCAGATGACTTTTGAGCAGCACCTGACTATTTGGTTTTAGAATTATTTCGACCGCATTGAATAACGCACTGGCAGTCACGGTCAAGCATTGGACGATCGGAATGTGCGGTTTTGTGGCTGACCTTTTCTAACCTGTTCTTCCTCGGGGGAAGGCAGCATCGCTGGTCACCTAGGGGAAACGCCCCACTGCCTTCACACTCCAATCGCAGAGGACAGTACGACTTTGCCTCCAGACCGCCTCGTAATACGATTGCTTACAGTACGGGGACTCACTGTCCTTAATCGAGCTGATCCCCAATGGGCTTCTTGTCATGGTTGAACCTTTAGAAACTCTGGGTCGGGATAGCCACGAGTGCACTTTACAAACTGTCTGGTTCAGGTGCTTTGTTGCGCTTAAGCAATGAGATCGCACGTTGGACTTCGATCATCGGTGAGGGTCTGGTATTAACGTTCCACCCAGGTTCATTTCCTCTCAGAGGCTGAGTTGAGGTGACCCAGCTAAACTGTCCTCCAGTGTTCAGTCGATCGCTCAAAGGTCTCATCTTTTGCTGAGATCGTCTTGCTAACAGTCACACTTTTCCAATTGGTTGATCAGATTAGCTGTAACAGGGTGCGGAAGGTCCTTGCTACAAAAGCTTCGTCCATTTCTCCAGTCTTCACACTCCATTAGAGCCCATAGGCTCTTCATTATTCGGTGTTTCAGGGACCTGCGCTCTGACTTCAATCAGAGCTGCTGATTATGGATATCCTCCAGGGAGAATGAAAGATTCTTGACACGAAGGAAATGCATCATGCGTGTTGCTCCAGGATGACACAGGGTTGTGTGTAAGCGTTTTAGATCCAGGTGAGATGAAGTGTTCGCACAGACACTCCGAGAAAGCGTGTCAGCAGCTTTGTTTTCTATGCCTGGTCTACGGTTTTCTTGGGGACCCTTCCCGAATCCAATGACTGAATAGTCCGACCCACTTGGGTGTGGAGGGCTGACCTGGCCCGACAGCACATGGAGTAGGGCGTTGGCTCACTGCTGGTGCAACTGCGCATAGTAGTTGCCTTCTGAGCAGCACCTGACTATTTGGTTACAAAAGTATTTCGACCGTACTGAATAACGCGCTGGTGGTCACGATCAACAGTTGGGCAATCGGAGTGTGCGGTTCTTAAGACCGATCTTTTTAGCCCCGTCCTTCCGCGGGGGAAGGCAGCATCGCTATTTCCATTAATATGAAAATGATGATTGCTTAGGGGAAAACACCTTACTGCCTTTACACTCCTATCGCAGAGGACAGTACGACTTTACCTCCAGACGGCTGGTGAAAACTGACAGAGGGCTCGTTACCCAAACATACATTTTTACCATGCATTTTTTACCTGAATCTCCATACATAACCGAAATAGTAACGTCAACAGTATATTGACACCCTTTCTCGAAATCCACTGGAATGTATTCAGTAATCCATCCAGGTGTATTTTTGGCTGCACCTCTTCAGAGCACCAGTAACACCTGGTCAGACAGGACCAGCTTGCTGAGAAGATAAAAACAGGTTGAAAATTACTTTTAATACTTGTTTGTAAAACGCCATGCAAATTTTTGGCATCCTTCGGCTGGAAATCGAAATTTCAGGTGATCTACTTGATAAGTCCTTTGTCAATAAAACTGATGACAATACTCTTTGCGTAATTTCCGTAATTTATAATAGAAAAACAGGATGGACCCCGGACTCTCGTGTTGGGGATCGGGTTCACTGTCGACAACGGCACTAGAAGTTTACTGAGGGGAGTTTCCGTGCGATAACGTGGCCAGTCCATGTTCCAGTGACACGCCTCACAATGAGACGGGGAATTAATGCGCCTAGTTCATGGGTTTGTTTCGACATCAAAACAAAATTCAGGTAAGCGAGCAGGTTCACTCGCTCTAGCCCGACATACGGATGTGGAATTCCCTTCATGGAGCCACAGTAAATCACAGGGCAGCGTTTGGGCTACTAACGGACTTCAAGTAGTTTGTCCCAAATGAGTAGCACGAGTAACCATGGGAGCGGCTGTTTCACGTTCTTGAAACATAGGTCTGAGATGTCAGAGTGGAATTCCGTTTGCGGGTCTTCCGCCTGGGTCTTCCTCTTGAGTTTGCTTGATCTCGCTAAAAAGAAGTCCCTCTGATCCATGATGAGTGAAAGTTTCTGGCTATCCACTTACCTGTCTATGTTACGGCGTATGTCCGAGGCCGTCACCGAACCGCGAACGAGGAGCGCAGCAGCCAAATAAGTATGGCGACACGGGTCAGCGGATATCAGTTGAAAGTCGCGCGTGAATGCGTCAGCGAAGAGTTGATCCACTCTATCAAGTAAGAGAACAAATGGTGCTAGATCAAGGTCACAATACACGATTATATGCACAGGTGGGTCACTGTGATGTCAGATGACCGCAGTAGATCCCATCTTGCAAAGATAGCTTGACTTTGGTAATCACCACCTCAAAATTGCTAATGCAGAATTAATTTGAATGCAAATATCAATCATCTGTCACTAAAGTGTGAAGTCAAAACAGGTGCACACCCTACCTAGGGGACTTCACGGTATCTATGTTATGCAATGATGTAGTTGTGCTCACTTTCGGGGGGCAACGGTCTGGTTGGTGTTCGTCAAAGGACTCTGAGCTGCGATGAGATAATGGAGCCTTGGGAATGGCACCAAATTCATACTGATTTCGTTGATATCCACGTTCATAGTGCCTTCAAACCGTGAGGAACTGGAGTAGATGGAAAAGGCTGGTTTAGAAATAATCTGTCTATATTATTTTAAGGCGCACACACAAGGGAATAATTAACTCTACTAAAATTAGCTTAGTAATCAAAAAGTAGGGTACTGTGTGTGTCATAGTGCATTGTGGAACATGACAGGCGGCATGGTCCCACTCATCACAAAATGATATACGGAATCAGGTAACTGACAATCATTAATGACACATGTATGTTGAAGAAAGATGTCTGGAGTGTGTGGCGCTCTGTTTCCGCCAACAGGATTTTGCTAACAGATATATGGGGGATCCGAGGAAGGTTTCCTGATGTTCAGCCAATCATCTGATAAGCATCAGCTAGGGCTCTTTGGACGGATGTTTGTGTACATGTCTGCGAGGAAGCTGTAGAAAAACTCATGCCGGCGCGAAACGGTAGATCAACATTGTTTGCATACCGCGGTGTTTGAAAGATAAGCTACTAACCTGGTCAAATTTAACAGCATATTGGCAACAATGTTGTTCATCTCGTCAAATGCCTTTCCATTAGCTGCAGTATCAATGGGTGTCGCAGTGACTGGCCAATTGGAACTGGACTGCTGCTTTGTTGTGTCGTTGCTTCTTAGTGAAGGTTCCTTAGGAACAGGCTTGGTTGAACTGCCTTTCAGTCGTCCAATCATACCGGTCAACGCCAGATTGTCCACTGGCAGGACACAATCAGCCAGTTCGGTCAGCTGACTGATCCCAAGCACAGTATTGTATGGAGAAGTAATAACATCATCGTCCATTGAAGGGAAAACTGCTGTAACAATTCTGCAGTGGCAACCTTAGCAGAAATGTACATATCTTACCGATAGACGTTAGGATATTCATCAGCCAATATTTTAAGTAGGTGGGTGCCCACCCCTGACCCTGTTCCGCCTCCTAAAGAGTGGATAAGGAAGAAGCACTGCAGACAGTCACATAGCTCAACAGACTTCCGAACGACTTCTTTGAGTTCGTCATGATAACGTGTGCCGTAAAAGTACTTCCCAACGGCCCTATGTCCGTAATAGTGTGCAGCGGAGAAGGTGGCCTACCAATTGTTTCCAGATCCAGAGACATCTGTGATCAGGAACCGATTATCATAAATGTTCCGCAAGGGGCTTTTAAACAATTCACCGACCACTCCTTCCTCCATGTCTACCAGAACAGCCTACAAAACCCTGTGAGAGAAAACGAATGGTGCCACGTACCCGAGCTTTTAGGCCCGATACAACAGGTAAATAACCTCCATTGTCTGCGGCGCCATTGATGAAGAATGTTGAAAGAGCGCTGTCGTAGATAGCTTTCTAATAGTTGATCAGACTGTGTATTTGAAATAGACAATACATACCTCATTGGCGAAAGAATGCTCACGTAGCGCAAGATTCCAAAACCGATTTCCGATTTGGTTACCGCATTGTCCAACTAAAGGTAGTTAGTTTCCGGTTGAAGTTACTACCAACCTTGAATGACGATCGACTGCGTCATTGGCCAATTGTTTGCGCAGAACAGCACAAAGTTCTCCTCCCGGTAGGTCACTTAGCGGACTAGTTTAACGGCACATGTATGAGAGGAAGTCAACAGCTAAAAAGGGGCAACACACAAGAGTGTAGTCACTGTCTCTGACAAAATTTCTGAGGACAAACATATCGAAACAATTAGGCCTGAGGTGCTGCTCGATATTAGTACGTTGCCAAACATATTGAAGAAAAAACAACCATGACAGCACTTAATGAGATCTGATTAGGGTATGAGCATGTATGCAAATAACAAATAAATAAAATAATGAAAAATAAGCGACGCCTGGTGCCATGCGTAAGGGTTCGCAATAAGATCGTCATCGACTGATAGACGAGGCATCAAGCACAAAATTTCAAAGACCAAAGAAATGAAGCATACTAGACCATGTGGTATAAGATGGTCGCTTCTGCTTGAGTATCCATATTGAATCTGTCAGTTGTGCAGAAATATGGCTTGAGGTTTGTATGAACAGATCTTCACTGCTCACTGTTTCAGTTACCTAAACCAATATGTACGATGACGCTACCAGGAAGCTCTGGTAATGTCTGCTCAAAACGTATGTGCCAACCGAGATGACCACCATTAAATATCTGCCGTGTTGGAAGGACGCAAAGAATGTTGAGTGTTTCAACTTTAGCACCAACTGGTATTTGCTCTCTTGTCTATGTGATTTCGTCGACTTTCCCTCTGACGAAGGTGGCTTCAGGAATACCCCGGACCATTGCAGCTCAGGGAGTGTAGACAGCAGCGAAGTCCGATCACAGAATCATCCAGTTTTCAGTCCACATCATAGACCTTACAGGAATAAAGCAGCTCGATAGCGGTTCTAACTGTTGTGAATAAAATTTTAAAATGTTCTGCAATACAGTGGTATAACCCTGAGCGGGATAGCGGGAATATGGGTGGTATTCACGTTTGGAAATCTGACTGGCCGATGACGCATCCAAACCACTGTAGCCAGTACTGTTGGATGAAGTTGTAAAGACGCAAAATAATAATACAGCACAAGATACCTTATCGTCCCAATGTAACTTCAGAATTCGCCACAAGTGGTTTACGGAGATTGTCAGCTCAGAGGGTGAAATTCCCGCTGGGGTGCATCAGTAAAAATCGGAGGGCCACTATTTGTTCGGGGGCGTGAAGTTAGGTCGACGCGAGCCACTTCTCTTGAGCAATAAGGATGGTAGAAGAGTTGAACAGTCATATCTGCTGTGAAGTACATTGTCCTTTAAGCATTCGTTTCTAATCGAACAACTATTATTATTTTCATTATTATCTGAGCCAGACTCCGCATGGAAGTCAACGAAGCAAGCGGTGATTAGTTTCGGGAACCCACAGTTGTACACCAAAACAAGAGCAAAAGCATTCCTGGTCTGGTTTAATGTAGGACTCGCTTCTCCAAGACATGTATCAGTAGTGAGGTAGATATTTTGATGGTATTTTCCATCAGGCTGACAAACTAATAGCTCGAACATCCCCTGTTAACATTTTTTGGCTACCGAAAGTGTCTAAATCCATTGACAAAAACTTCGGCAACCACCATTGAAAAGAAAACTTCTGGAGAGACTACAACGGAAACGGAAAACACGCATTGTATATTTCCGTCAAAAGTAAAGTTTTCATTTTTCAATGTTATTAATTTTTCTGTTTATCCAACGTAGCCCGAAGAGTCGAAATTAACTGTATGCTTGTTCGGCTGTAACACAATCGGTGCATACCTGCCGTACCAGAGGGCTGAGACACTGCCATGTTACCCAGTAATTAATTTGCACCTTAACCACTGAGTCCTCTCCAGCTCACTCGACGATGTATGGAATGGAGGCTGTGTTATTTGATGTAGAAAGAGGGTGGGATGTGGGTCGATTTGTTCAGCCAACTTCCTCGGTTTCCTGTAGTCTATTATTAGCTTATCGTTAGTAGCAGACCGTTTGTTGGGTATCATCATCATCATCATCATCATCATCATCATCGATAGCATGACATCAGTGTTCAACACCGATGATTTTGGCCCAGAGTGCGATGGATCAATCGAAGAAGTTGTGAGTATTTGCCGACACTTGGACGCTTATGACCAATAGGCTCTATAATCTTTTCTGTATTAGCTGAAGACGTTGGCCAGATATGCCCAAAGAGTTGGTTGGAGGAAAAACAATCTCTGTGGCGAGGAATGATGCGACAATCTGTTGCATGGACGTTTTTGGCTCGAGAATTCCGTGGATACTTGGCAATAATTAGAAGACCGAACGCGTCTGAGATCCCAACGAACATTTTCGGGTTTGCAATAAACGTCAGTTATGTAGAACGCAGCTTGGGTGGCCGATTGCAAGGTTGTTTTCAGGCGCTGCGCTTACAAAGACGTGGCCCGAATCACACCACCTTCAGGATTCTGACCTACAGTGAGACCTACAGTACTCAACAGACGATGTTTATCACATTTCTATTAAAATATAGTCCGCTTGGGAGGAAAAACATGAGTAGATGCTCATCCATGTGCTGCAAATGCGTTGCGTGTAACGAGGATGATAAATCTGAGTTTTCCTAAGCTCGAAAACCGCGCACCAAGGTGTGGTGATTCCAGCTTCCACAACATATTTCATCCAGGACAAGGATAATGAAGAAATAACAGTCACGCGTTAGAGGCGGTGGCCCAATCTGTTTACTGACAAAAAATGGATCTGCTTGTTCAATATGACAAGAAGTGAAAGCAACACAGTTAAGGCTATAGCTGATATAGCCATTGACTGCGTGGAACATTTCTGTCAGTCCTTAGTTAATCTTGACCCCCGGTTCCCAGTCTGGAAGACACCAGTTACCAACCAGACTGATTTGACGGCCTTCTATGCTTCATTGCCAAGTCACGGACTGCCGCCTCTCGGGCGTCCCATCAGATAGAGGACTGGGCGAACAGCGCCCTAGAGTGCAAACGGTCCTCTGGCATAGGAATCACATGACCTAAACAGCGTAGCCTGCATATTGTGATCAGCTGATCTATCGAGGAACAATGAACTTTCTGGATGACCATATGACATACTTCAGCATTACTGATCTGATGTTTCAACCAGGCCCGAGGAAAGCTTCGGAGACACGGACGGTCGAGCACATTTTCCGAAGACCCTCCGCACACAGCAACCCCACCTCTGATCCATAAAGTAGGACAGATTGGACAGTGGCATAGTACACTCTTATCTTGACAGACAAGCTGCTGTCACACCGACGTCACAAATGTCAGAGGTTAGCGAACGCTGCCCTTGACTTCCCAATCCAGGAAACGGTTTTGTCTTTCGCCACTCCGCCGGGTCATATGCAGCTGTACAGATAGACAAACCTACCTACCAAATCGATCAGTTCACCTGCAAGCATGAGGTTTGGATTTGATCTTACCCAATCCTGCACTAACAATTTATAGGTGGTACATTCATACCGAACTGAGCAGCAAAATTATTTAGAATGTTTAAAATGGTTTTCATTTCTAAAGAGTTTGATACGAGGAAAGCAACAGCACCGGTACTCTCGATGCTTACCGGCTAACGCCACGTTAGTATTCCGATCCCCTACACGTTAGGGGCAGCTAAAGTAGACTCAAGCTGCATATCAACTGGGAAGTTAAAGAGTAATGGCTACAGAACATATCCCTGCCTGACACTACTGGATGCGATGAACTCAGAGAAGTTGTCGTAGACACGTTCACGTTCACAGGAAGTGGTATATGGAGCCTCACTCATCTGTAACACCCTTCCGGTGCCTAGTTGCCAGGTTGCCCAAGCCTAGACAGGGAAGTCGAGAGGCAGAGATAGGGTTCGAACCACGGATCTTGCGGTCAGTAATTTTGCGCTCTAACCACTTGAGTCATCATTTGGAGCCTACATAAGAATTTAGAGGGGACAGCCATCATTTACAGACACTGCCATAGCTTCTGACGATCAATGGAGAGAAAACATCTGAGATGGAGAAAAGCCACTATTGTTGGCCGTTGTAAGGAGGGACACTTGTTGCGAAATAAAGAGATGATCGATGCAACTTCTACCAGGGCAAGGGCCGGATCGATTCTCACGAATCTGACTTCCTAGATGATGGATCAAAATTCGTAGGAAAATGCCAGGTGTGCCTAGGAAACTATGAATACAAGGCTGATGCCATGTAGTTTTCACACTGCGTTACTGCATTCTTTTGGAAAGTAGTAAATACGGTTTAGGCACTCTGTCCTGCCAGGATTCTTTCCTCATTAAGTACATCCTTAACTTGGGTCGTCCGGATAGCCAAGAGTCAATTCAATTCAATTTATCAACTATAAACGGCGTACCATAAGCATATTGGTTCCAGTTGCTACAGTTTTGATCACCGGAAAACGGGAAGTTGGAACATACAACCAAACCTTGGGGGCGGAAGCATGTTCAGTTTGTTTGGAATTTGAGTAACCACGCACTGAAGGCGATAGCTTTGATCCACGAGCGCCACTGACCGCGCGATTGGGCCATTTCTGCCCATGTTGTTAACCATTGGTGATTTGAATCCCGGGGTCCCCATCCAGGGAGGCGGCAGTCGACGATTACTGTTAGTGCTGGTTAGTGTTTTCGTCCTTCGTTGGCAGGCCATGCACTTCCCACCTGTCAGCCTCTTCTACACACTACAGGACTAGGCGGAAAGAGTTCTGAGAGGCAAGCGGTCTTCTGACATGCGGTGTACATATCCTAACCAGCGTAACTTATATAGGTTACTTGAAAACACTTATTTATATCCAGGACGGTAATATACTGAGAAAAGGTGTGGGGGTAGATGGGTTATCAGGGCACGGGAGCATATTATTTAGAAAGTTAGCGAATTGCAAAGGGAGAAATAGATGCCTATAATGGGCTAAATTCACGCACCGGACGACTATAGCTAAGTGCGGACTGGGTTCGGGAATTCCGACAGTGAGTAGGGATTTTCCGCATCCGGGTGCAGAAATCTGCGGAAACCGAGCGCAAATTTCCGCGTGCGGGCGCAAATATGCTGCAGAAGTTAATGCAACGGTGCTAACTGGGATGAAGCGTGAGTAATTCATCTATCCCGGGAAAGCTTCTTCTTTCTATGACCATCTGGCGTACCGCAGCATTACTAATGCGATGCTTCCACCAGACCTCACCGATGTGTCGAAAACACCGATGGTCAAACACTGACATCCACCGTGTGTCCTCTGCGCGTAGGCGCCACGTCTCTGATCTATAAAGCAGTATGGATCGCACCATTGCAGTGTAAACTCTTCTCTTGACAGACAAACTCACATAACGTCGGCGCCATAAGTGTCGGAGGTTGGCATAAGCTGCCCTGATCTTTCCGATTCGAGAAATAATCTCATCGCCAGCCAGCGCACCGGGACTTGTACGGCTGTACAGGTGAAAAAATTTATCTACCACGTCGATTGGCTCACCTACAATAATCAAGTGTAGGCCTGATCCCACCCAGTCTTGTAGCAGTACTTTACATTTTGCAGACGTGAAACGCACGCCAAATCGTGCGGCAGAGTGATTTTAGGTTATTTAAAATCGTTTGCATTTGAGAAGGATCTGAACCAAAGAGAGCAATATCGTCCGCATACTCAATCTCCGTGAGGGAACGTCCCTGGACCATTTCGACTTCCGAGGTTTCAGAGGCAGGCAGAGAAATTTCAAACAACATGTCAATAAAAAAGTTGAAGGGAAAGGTTGAAAGAGGACAGCCTTTTCTCAACGGAGAGCTTCCCATATACTGGCACGCGCCCATAAGAGGTCGCATACAGTGCACTCACGAGAGATAGAAATTTGGAAGAGACACTGCCAGACACTGCCAAAGTTGCTGACGATCGACAGAATAAAAAGCAGCTTTCAAATCCAGAAAAACCCATGTGGGACGTCTGGAGGAGTGGCGCTCTTCAAGAATTTGTCTCAACGTAGACATTTCTCCCTATCAACATGGTCTACGAATCATCGACCACGACGAAACCCAGCTTGATTCTCACGAGTCTGTCTCTCGCGATAATCCATCAATCTGCGCAAAACAATGCAACAGAGCATCGTAGATGAGACCGATAACGCACCGGACGACTATAGCTAAGTGCGGACTGGGTTCGGGAATTCCGACAGTGAGTAGGGATTTTCCGCATCCGGGTGCAGAAATCTGCGGAAACCGAGCGCAAATTTCCGCGTGCGGGCGCAAATATGCTGCAGAAGTTAATGCAACGGTGCTAACTGGGATGAAGCGTGAGTAATTCATCTATCCCGGGAAAGCTTCTTCTTTCTATGACCATCTGGCGTACCGCAGCATTACTAATGCGATGCTTCCACCAGACCTCACCGATGTGTCGAAAACACCGATGGTCAAACACTGACATCCACCGTGTGTCCTCTGCGCGTAGGCGCCACGTCTCTGATCTATAAAGCAGTATGGATCGCACCATTGCAGTGTAAACTCTTCTCTTGACAGACAAACTCACATAACGTCGGCGCCATAAGTGTCGGAGGTTGGCATAAGCTGCCCTGATCTTTCCGATTCGAGAAATAATCTCATCGCCAGCCAGCGCACCGGGACTTGTACGGCTGTACAGGTGAAAAAATTTATCTACCACGTCGATTGGCTCACCTACAATAATCAAGTGTAGGCCTGATCCCACCCAGTCTTGTAGCAGTACTTTACATTTTGCAGACGTGAAACGCACGCCAAATCGTGCGGCAGAGTGATTTTAGGTTATTTAAAATCGTTTGCATTTGAGAAGGATCTGAACCAAAGAGAGCAATATCGTCCGCATACTCAATCTCCGTGAGGGAACGTCCCTGGACCATTTCGACTTCCGAGGTTTCAGAGGCAGGCAGAGAGAGAACAACATGTCAATAAAAAAGTTGAAGGGAAAGGTTGAAAGAGGACAGCCTTTTCTCAACGGAGAGCTTCCCATATACTGGCACGCGCCCATAAGAGGTCGCATACAGTGCACTCACGAGAGATAGAAATTTGGAAGAGACACTGCCAGACACTGCCAAAGTTGCTGACGATCGACAGAATAAAAAGCAGCTTTCAAATCCAGAAAAACCCATGTGGGACGTCTGGAGGAGTGGCGCTCTTCAAGAATTTGTCTCAACGTAGACATTTCTCCCTATCAACATGGTCTACGAATCATCGACCACGACGAAACCCAGCTTGATTCTCACGAGTCTGTCTCTCGCGATAATCCATCAATCTGCGCAAAACAATGCAACAGAGCATCGTAGATGAGACCGATAGCAGGCCGATACCACGATGATTTCCACATGATGTTATTGCTTCCCTTTCTGAAACTGGGATTAAGGTCCAGCAGCTCCAGTCGGCTAGTATTCTGTTTTCGTTCCCAATCTTCTACAGTATAGTGGTCAGAATGTTCACCAGGATCTCGCCACCTTCTTTGAAGAGCGCAGGGTGTAGACCATTCGGGCCACGTGCCTTGTCGCGCTTCACGATTAAAATCTCGAGCTGGATTTTGGTTGCTGATAAAGGGTTGCTGTCAATGTTCCATTCGGGCCCGCTTGCTCCTTCCAGCCTTTGTGCTGAAGGAGACCAGGTGAACTGTTCTTGGGAGTGCTCAGCCCACCGCTCAAGACGGCGACTGAGGGGCTGAATTGTTTTTCCGTATTTTCCGAATATTGTCTCACGGACACCTGCTTTCTTCTGATCCGTTGATCGGATCAGTTGAAACAGAGCGCGGCTGTTGTCTGGAACAAAAGCATTCTCCATCTCCTGGACCTTCGAAATCCAACAGCGTTCTGTCATTCTTCAAGCTACTGATTATCCGGTGTTTGATGGATCTGTGCGCGATGGTATGGCTTTTCTGGCAACAATAAGATCTGCTGATCTCGAAGTTATCTAGTGTTCAGTGAGTCCAGTCAGATGGGCTGGACAAACAGTTCTGAAGGCTGACAGCATTGCTTCTTTGACTCACCCCCACTCATAATTCAAGCAATCTTCGTCGTCCACATGACTGTGCGTTTCCAGTAGCTTTCTAGCCAGATCAGCTCGATACTCTTCAGCTACTGAAACTTGTCGAAGTTGATGAACGGAGCCGCTCTATTTCGGCACGCGTAGTGCTAAGCGGGCCCGCACGATCGCGTGATCAGAGTCCAGTTGCGCGTCCCAGAAGGAACGACAATCCACAACTGGGGCTCGCCATCGGTAACTAATAGTCATATGGCCCAATGGAGTCCACAACCTTTTTTGGTAGATGGCCTCCAAGTAATTTGGTGTGTGCGTTTGTGTTGGAAGTTCGTACTGGCCATAAATGGACGATGATCTGCACACAATTGAAGAAGCCGCTCTCCGTTATCCGTACGCGCAGCATCGACTCCAAATCGACCACCTAACTGTGATTCTTCCGGACTTAGTCATCCAAACTGGACAATCGTATCACCCGCCATGATTACTATATCCGTCCTTCTTGCCGACCGAAGCAGCTGTGACAGATCTTCAAAAAACTCGTCCTTCTCAGTCTCAGAACCGCTATCTGTTGGGGCGTATCCTGATACGACAAACAAACACCGCTTACCACATCAAACTGCATTAGTCTTAATTGAGCCGGACATCCGCACAGCGCATAGGCGACTGGGATTCAGTTCAGTAAGGCGCTTTCAGTCTTGGGACTGAGTGAAACTCCCACTCCGGAGATACCACGGGCCGTTGCGTCAGGATCACCGAATGCCCGAAAGTGAAATGTGGAACATCTGTACTCGTCCTAAGCAGTTTGAGGAGCACGATCGAAGTGGAGGCTTGTATGTGTGTTTCGGAGACAACATAAATTGATAGAGAGGGAAACTGAGGTTTCAGCAAGAGATGCCTGTTGCCCAACCTGTCATAGAGTACGGACATTGAAGGCTGCAACATGGATCGGATCTTTTGGGGTTAGTAGGTGATTATTTCGGTTTATTTCCCTTAGCGATTGTTGAGACATGGAACAGTGAATAGGAGGTTGGCAGATGGGTTCATTGCACTACATTGTACGATGGGTTAGGAAAGAATGAGGGAGAAGGCCGGTGAGCGAAGAGCTGCAAGGGCCAATGATACTTTCCAGTTGCCCAGATCGAAGAAGGAGGTTATGTTGAGGTACCCCACTTTGAGCCTTTGAATCGAAAGTCTGACCCGCAAAACAATGGGGGGTGTAGTGTTTTGCTCAGGGACCCTGCCCATAGCCTCTGACTCAAGATTCTGAACCACGAGACAGCAGTTTTTAGGGTTTTCTTGGAAACCCTTCCCGGAGCCAATAACTGGATAGTGCAACCCACTTTGGTGTGGGGGGCCGGCCTTACCCGACGGCACAGGGAGTGTAGTGTAGCTGCGCACAGCAGATGACTTTTGAGCAGCACCTGACTATTTGGTTTTAGAATTATTTCGACCGCATTGAATAACGCACTGGCAGTCACGGTCAAGCATTGGACGATCGGAATGTGCGGTTTTGTGGCTGACCTTTTCTAACCTGTTCTTCCTCGGGGGAAGGCAGCATCGCTGGTCACCTAGGGGAAACGCCCCACTGCCTTCACACTCCAATCGCAGAGGACAGTACGACTTTGCCTCCAGACCGCCTCGTAATACGATTGCTTACAGTACGGGGACTCACTGTCCTTAATCGAGCTGATCCCCAATGGGCTTCTTGTCATGGTTGAACCTTTAGAAACTCTGGGTCGGGATAGCCACGAGTGCACTTTACAAACTGTCT